GCGCGACCAGCTTCAGAAGTGTGGAGGATACTTCCCCGACGCTATGTTTCACACGGTGCTACTCGCGGGTCTTGGACCAGAATGGCGGCAGTGTCGCTCTATTCTTCGGATGCAAGCAACGTTGTCTGAGGGGGCACTCTGTGCCGCTCTCATTGCCGAGCAGCAGGATATGGACCTGCACAACGCTCGAGGAGGGAAAAAGGTGGTAAACAACACAGTCAGTTTTTATTCTACTCCACGTCACAAGCCCGTTTGTTCTTTTTGTCGCAAAGCAGGTCATACTATCGATACCTGCTGGTCGAAGGATAAACCATCTTGGAAGCGGTCTGCATCAAAACACACCAAAGATTCTTCAGGTGAAGCTGAAAAGCCGGAAGCTGAGAAGCCGGAAGCTGCGAAGCAGAACACTACGAAGCCGGACTCTGCGAAGCCGCCTGCTACATCTGTCAAAACACAAGCGAAAGAAGTTATTACTTGTATGACGTCAGTTTCTACCGCCTACGATCCTCACGCCGAAGAACGTGTTCATAATAACTTCAACGATGAACTCAATACGCCCATACCACCCGAGGTCTACGCCAACCTTGCACATACCTTGGAAGGTCCCAACACATGGTATCTCGACAGTTGTTGCGGCCAGCATATGTGTTCCTCAGAAAACCGTTTCGTCATCAATCAGCGTCGTCTTCAAAACCCATGCATTGTAACCGTCGCCAACAATCAACGTCTTACAGCACACTGGATGGGTAACATCATTCTTGATTCCGTTGAAGAAGACTTCAGTCTTCACCTTAACGATGTACTTCTCGTTCCTCGACTTGGCTTCAATCTGATGTCATTTGCATAGCTCATGAGGAATGGGATTACTCTTCTTGACGAACCTGGAAAATTTACTTTGAAATATGGAGACAGGAAACTCGGCACGGCAATCGAACAGAATGGTGTATTCGTTCTCAACTTCGTACCTGAACGCACCACTGCCGACTCCGACAATATTCTCTCTCTCGGCCCATGGGAACATCGTGATGACATCGATTACACCGATGATACCGTTCCTCGTGAAGGAGTCGTACCCACGTCTTCAACCACGGCTGCCGCTGTCATGCTGACCTTTGACAATCAAGGCTTGAATGACGTCCAGAACTCTCGAGATTATCTTGCTCAAGTTGGTGGTTGGGGAGATACGACGAATATGCCCACGGATGAAGGTGCTTGGGGGGCACAGGAACCTGACGAGACCACTTGGGGAGAAACACCTGCTGATCGTGATCGACGTCTTCTCACTGAAGCAGAGCAGCGTGTCGCTGACATGGAAGTCCTTGACTCCGGACGACTTGTCTGCGTTGAGCCTAAACCTGCAGCATCAGATCAAGAGAGCGGGGAGTTAGTTCTTTCTCCTGGCGAATACGTTGACGTTGACATAAAAGTTCCACCACCTAACCTTACCAGGTTCATCCCGCCTGTCACAGATCATGTTCGCGCTGACGGTCATCGGCTGCTGTTGTCTTTCTTCGCTAACGCCGATTATTATCTGCGCACACAGGGACACAAAGCTACTGCAGACACATGGCATAAGCGTCTTGGTCATCCGTCGCAGTCTACGCTCAACAACACAATCAAAGCTGCTGTTCTCGACAAGAATTCGCTTCTCTTACCTGGCGGCCTCGAAATGAAACCAGTCAATCGTCCGTCACCCTGCTTGATCTGCCCAGCAGCAAATCTACCGCACGAACCATACCCGACTCACTTTCCTGTCGCTGAGGATTATCGCTTGATGGAAAAAGTTTACAGCGATATTCTAAACTTACCTGCGGAGGGTTTCAATGGCGAGAAATACGTCATCACATTCACCGAAGCATCTACTCGATATGTCTGGACTGGTAACATGACTAACCGTTTTCTTGCCTTCACTGAGTTTCGAACATGGCTGCCTCTCGCAGAACGCGAGTCCGACACCAAACTCAAAACCTTCCAGTCTGACGGAGCTGGGGAATATCGCAGTCTCGAGTTTACAGCGTACCTGCAAGAAAGAGGCATACGGCGCATGTTCTCACTTCCTCACGCTCACCAACAGAGCGGTGTAGCTGAACGCCTCAATCGTACTCTGCAAGAAAAGATGCGAGCACTACTCGCACAATCTCAACTCGGCCCACTCTACTGGCCCTTCGCAATGGACCACGCAACCCTGTTGCATAACCTCCTGTCTTCATCGGCTCTACCCAACAACGCATCACCTCACTTGTTGTGGACAGGAAAATTGGGCACTACGAAACTTCTTCGAGTTTTTAGGTGTATCGTGCAATATCGTCCTCCCACCGCTCCGCTCGGAAAGTTCGATCAACGCGCTAAGTGGGGTCTTCATCTCGGCCTTGAGAAGCAGTTTTCTGCCTGGCGTATCATGGATTATCGCAGTCGTCTTTTAATTCCTGCCCACGACTGTATTTTCTACGAAAATCTGACCCTTCCTGTCTTCGAACAGTATCTCGCCACGCAGCGTGACCCTGCTACACTTTTCCATGGTGTTCGTTCATTCGCCAGCGCTGACGCCGAACTCGCTGCCAGCGAAGAACCTGACATTGACGGTGTACGTGAAGCTGCTCCTGATCCACCTATACTAACCACCTCTTCCGGATTTCCGGAATTCATTCCTCTCGTCGACGCTCATCCGGACGATGTTCGTGAAGTTCATCATACTTACCTGGTGGACGATCAACGACGTCCCATGCCAGCTGTAACTGACAGTAGCATCCGCGTCGATCCTGACGAAATTGGGGGGGCAAGTGGTGAACAGAGTGAACCTGTCAATTTCGCAGGACGGACCGAAGACAGTCCTAACTATCAATATGGGCTTCATATACTGGGACTCGCAGCAGCAGTACAGCACAATTCTACAGAAGTCGCAGAATCGAAAACTGCCCGACAGGCCCTTTCAGGACCACATCGCGAAAAATGGCGTGAAGCCATGGATCGTGAACTGGCTGCCCTGGAAAAACGGGAGACTTGGGATCTCATACCCATCGAAAAAGCTACAAATAAAAATATTCTTACCGGAAAATGGGTCTTCAGGGTGAAGACGAAAGCTGATGGCTCTTATGAAAAACATAAGGCAAGGTGGGTTGTTCGCGGTTTTGACCAAACTCATGGGGTAGACTACACGCTAACTTTCGCCCCGGTCAGCCGACACACAAGTGTTCGTCTCGTCATCTGCGAAGCAGCTGCGAAGAATTTTCCGCTTCGACAAATTGACGTTTCCAACGCATTTCTGTACGCTGACGTCGATGCTGAAATCTACATCGAATATCCACATACCTATCCGACAAATCCGCCAAGTGTCTGCAAGCTCAAGAAGTCACTGTACGGTATCAAACAAGCACCGCGACTGTGGCAGCAACATTTGAACAGGAAACTTATAGAAGTTGGGTTCCGACAACTGCCGCATGATCCCGGAATGTATCGACTAGACGACAAGGGGAGCTACGCGCTACTCGTGGCATACGTGGATGATATTCTCTACGTAAGTTCTTCGGCTTCTTTGGGTGATCGCATCGAAGCATATTTGAAGAAATCTCTCGATTTAACTATCTGTACCGAAGTAACCCAATTTCTTGGGTTAAACATTTCACGAACCGCCTCCGCCATCCACCTCATAGCATCAAAGTATGCTGAGTCACTTGCTAAGCGTTTCAAGATTTCTACATACTACGTTGCTACACCGTATCGATCTACACCCACCGGGCACATCCTAAACAACACCAAACTTTCAGCGGCTGGTCTACAACAGTATCAGCAGCAACTCGGGTGTCTTCTCTTCGCAGCAGTCACATGCCGTCCCTACCTTGCTTACGTCGCAAGCTATCTCGCACAATTTTTACGCTGCCCAAAAGAATAACACCATCTTGATCTTCAGCGCGCTCTACACTATTTTGTCGCAACACCAACAGTCGGGCTGATTTTCAACACAGGAAAACCGACCGACAAAATGTACCTCAGCGGATATGTCGACGCAGACCACGCTGGTGACACGTCAGATCGTCGGTCACGCACAGGCTACATTTTCCGTCTCGAGCCAATTGGTCCGATCTCGTGGAACTCATCGAAACAGGAAGTCGTGTCACTTTCCTCGGCTGAAGCAGAATTCATTGCCGCGTGTGCTGCAACCCGAGAATGATTATACTTACAGGAACTGCTCGACGAAGCAAAATTCGTCACGCCAAATCAGTTTACGCTACAGTGCGACAACCAGAGTGCAATTACCATCGCCAACAAGCCCGGCTTCGTCAATCGCACGAAACATATTTCACTGCGTTACTTCTTCGTCAAAGATGAGATCGACAAGGGGAGAATGCGCCTTGTCTACTGCCCCACTAGTGATTTGGCAGCTGACTCGCTTACCAAGAAGCTGACACGACAGAAATTTCACCACTGCAACCAGCTCAGCGGAATTTCTGAGACAACTGGGTAACTACACCGAACTCCTAGAAGTGAAGGGGAGTGTTGAGATAATATCGAGACTTAAGCACTTCAAGGAAATTCGTGTAGTACAGTACAGTACCGATAGGCTGACGTCAGCAAAGCGCTACGCGCCCTAGGATGACGTCAGCACGTAGCTATAGGCCTCGCGAATAGTGACGTACCGTTTCAGAACAGGAATAGCGAGAATAGCACAGTACAATAGGCGAAAAGGTACTTTACTCTAGCTATATATTCTGTATGTTTGTCATTTTATAATACATATGATTTCAGAGACATTGATCCTGAAACATATCACTACATGGGCTTTCACTAGTCCAGACAAAGCCTCCTTAACTGGCTTAAATTCATACAAGAGTTTCCAACACTCCCCTTCGCTTCTGGAGTGTCATCGCCTTCGTTGCTGGTGACGTGGTCCTGTCCAGTCAGCAACATGCAGTACTCGAACTTCTGTTTTCCAAGTTTCTTGGTCAGGTAATCTGCTGCCATCTCGGACGTGGGGCAGTATCAGCTGCTGCCAACGCTTGGACTCACAATCTGCACGCCTCCTCTCCTCTCCACTCCCTCCCACAGAAGCACCGCTCACCCAGCCACACCGCTCTGCACCGCATCAACACACCCCTCTCAGCCACTCTCAACCGCCTCGCATGCAGCAATCGCCACCACTCCCTCCGCTGCTCCCTGCCCTCACTCTGCCTCCCCTCCCTCCTCTCCGTCTCCTCCCTCTCCCATCCCCACCCCCCCATCACACTCTCCTCCGTCTCCATCACCCGTGCAGCCCTCAACTCATCCACCACTGTCCACGCGCCCTTTACTGCTCTGCTACTCGTTACCGCATCACGTGCCACCCCGTACAAGCCAGCCCTGTTCAATCCCCCGAACATGCTATCACGCGCTCGCAGCACTGTGCCGAGTAGGGCTCGCACGGTCGGTAGCTCAAGCAGCCGACAGGTTGCTGCCACCTCTTCTTCGTTGCTCTCCTCCTCTCCCTCATCCTCACCCTCCTCTCCACTTCCCTCTCGATCCCCATCTCCCTCCTCCTCTCCATCTTCCTCTCCTCTCTCCGCTCCATCCTCCTCCTCATCCCCATTCTCTTCCTCCCTCTCCACTCCCACCATCTCTCGCTCCTCCTGGCACTCTGTTCTCGAACCATGCTTCCCACCACCTCTGTCCCTTCTCTCCTTCCCCCCTCTTCTTCTCTCCTTCCCCCCTCTTCTTCTCTTCCTTCCCTTCCTCCCCTCACTTGACCCATCCGAACCCAACTCACCCTCCCCTTCATCTCCTCTCGCTGACACCTCACCATCACGACTCCTCTCCTCTCCTTCCCTCCTCTTTTTCCCCTGAATATTTTTTCCACTACCATCCTGCCCCTCCTCTTTCCCTCCCCCACTCTCTGCTCGCCCAACTTTCCCCTCCCTCTCCCCCATCCCCTCCACCCACTCCTCCACCATCCCTGCCAGCTCAGCAGCCCCCATCCCGGCCCAATCCACGTCAGCCTCCCTCTCTGCCACGCTGGCGTCCACTCTGGCAGCCGCCACGTCACCCAACCCTGCCAACCTCAGCAGCAGCAGCAGCTCCAGCTGCGGCCGCCCGTCAGCAGATATTTCGAAATATCTCTCTCCTTGTGATTCTAAGGGGGGGCATCCAGCCCTCTCAAGCAATTTCACAGCCCACCGCAAGCGCCGGGAGGAGCAAGTGGAAGGGCAGGTAGGATCACGAGCAATCTTTGCCGCCCTGGAATTTCTGCGATGTGATTGGCTGGATTCTTGCCCTGTTTCTGCGGAACCCACTTCTGGGCTTGCTCTCCCTCCTCTCCTGCTGGCCTGTGATTGGTCGAGACTGAGCCCCTTAATAATCACACTCAGGTCCACATTAACCAAATCAAAAGGGTTGTACTGCAGATTACAAATACACTCCAACTGCTCCTCTTCTACTCCATGCTTAGGTCCTGACTTGCCGAGCCTGACTGCCAGCTCCTCCGTCCCACCCTTAGGTCCGGCGCCGCCGAAGCTGAGAGGCTCGGTAAAACCATACCGGAGCAGAAGAGCTGCGGTGCTGAGCTGGCCGTAGGTGTTAAATACCTCGTCCCCAGGCCCCTCTCCTCGCACCATTATCATTTCCAGCTGCTCGCTTGGCTTCTCCCTTTGGCCTTCCTTCTCAGGTGAACTATCCTCCCTCTCCTGTTTCCCGTTCGTCTCCTTGTCTCCATCCTTCCTCTTCTCGCTTCGGATCTCACCACCCTCCTCCTCATTGTCTTCGTCACTGCCCTCAGTATCACTCTCCTCGTCGTTGATTGTGAAGTGCACTGACTCGCTTGCAGTGCGATGGTTGAACCTGTCGACGGAGCAGGAAGGTGGGACAGGGAGGGTGCGGGAAGGGGGGGGTAGGGGTGAAAGAATGGTGCATAGTGGATGCACGTACCTAGTAACCGTATATGGTAATTCAAGGTGCACACTAAGTCAAGTTACATGTCAGCATGGTAAGTCAAGGTACACACGATAGGCTACATGCCGGCATGGTATCAGCCTATCCAGCACTTACAGGTCAGCCAGGGGCACCATGCCATGCCCGTGCCAGCTGTCGATGGCGAAGGCTCGCGAGGAGATTAGCGACTTGACCGCCAGGTAGGCGTCCCATGACAGCTGATCTGGCAGCTGCTGATTGGTTGACGTCAGCGGCTCTGGTGGCAACTTGTCGTGTGGGTGTTGACGATTGGGACCATTTGGCAGGTTTGGTGGGAGGAGGTACAGGAGGTGCGGTGGCAGGGAGAGGAGGAAGGGCAGAATGTGGTGCCTCCACTCCCCTCGCATGCCTGCTAGGTCACTGGGGACGGCCTGTGTTGGGTGGGGGATGGTGGAGAGGGGTGGGGTGAGGCGAGGATGGGGGGAACGTGAAGCTATGCTGGTGTGGGATAGAGAATATGGGAGGAGGGGAGGCAGTGGGGGAGGATAGGGGAGGGGATGAGAGACGGGGGGGAAGAACGGAGAGAGAAACAAAAGATCTGAGAAACAAAAGATCTGAGAAACAAAAGATCTGAGAAACAAAAGATCTGAGAAACAAAAGATCTGAGAAACAAAAGATCTGAGAAACAAAAGATCTGAGAAACAAAAGATCTGAGAAACAAAAGATCCGGAGTAGCAATGTGAGGTGGCAGCCATGCTTGCACGTACCTGCTCGATTTCTGTACCCCTTAGTAGCTCCTTCGATTTCCGCTTTCCCCACAGCACCGGCACATCCTCTCTCTCTGGCATCTGTCCAAAATACGCCGCCCATCGGGATTTCGCCCCCAGGGCCCTCTCAAAGAGCACTGCTGCCACCAGCGCTGCACTGCTCAGCTCCCCCTGCCCCCCCCTTGCGCCCTCTCTTGACTCCTCATCCGCCTCCCCCTCCCCCTGCTCCCCTTCCCCATCCACCTCCCCCTCACTCCCCACATCCGTGTTTCCTCCCCCTGATCCCCCATCCTCGTCCTCCCCTTTCCCCTCCTCATCCGCCTCCCCTTCCGCCTCCCTCTCTGTTTGAAATAACGGGGAGGCGGAGAGGTAGGGCGCAAGCAGGGAGGTGCGCGGAGTGAGGCAGGCGGACTTGGGGATGGTCGCAACAGATGCGCCAAGGGGGAGGGGCGCGCGCGCAAACACTCCCACGGGGAGCGGATCAGGCGGGGGAGAGGCGGAGGGATAGGCGCAGTGGGGACGTGCGCGTGCGCCGTGGCGGAGTGTGGGCGGGGGAGGGGGAGGGCAGGTGAGGAGGAAGGCAAGCTTTTCTGACCATTGGATCTTGGCCTCGTCGTGCATCCACCGTTCAAACGCGCGGTACGTGCGGCTGGAGAGGAGGGCGGGCGGGCGGCCAGAGGCAGCAGCAGGAATGCAAAATCACTTCATGTTCAGGGGACAGGGTTTAAGGTTGTGAGAGGTTTGGGGTTTTTGTAGCGCCAAACGCGTTGGATGCCATTGCATTGCCACGCAAGGAAAATTAAGCGTACCACTCTTGATGCGCTCTGCGGGGATCCCCGCTGCTAAATCGCCACTCCGCCCCTGCTTTCACATGCAAATGGCTACCATGCTTTCCTCCTCTACCCTTAATGCCGAGGCTCTCCGCATCTATCTCCCCTGGCTGACCTTTCTCCGGCGGGTCGAAGCGGCGGGCGCACGAGAGTTGGCGGAAGCAGCGCGGTTCCCCCCCCGGTTGCGCGCTTTTTGCGGCGCGCTTGCGCTGCAGGCGCGTCGGCTGAGAGGGGCTGCTTTCGCGACCGTGTGGTGGGCATGATGACAAGCGGGGCAAATAGTGGACCCGACTGATGCGGGGCGAAATGTAAAACATCCAACGCGTGATTCGTGTCCAATACCATACCGTGTTGTCTACAGCGATTTCGCTTACATCTACTCATTATTGATATGCCTAACATTCACAATATGAAAGAGAAGGCATTAGAAAGATGGCACAAGCAGTGCCTACTCAGCTACCCCTATCAACCCTAGCCTGTAAACACATCACATGCCCAGTCTAGGTCATGCAATTAGGGGCAACCCCCCTAAACATCCACCAGTACCCTTCACCCACAACTCAACTGACCAACTCAGCACAAGCCCAAACTCCCGTCCGTTATTCACACGGTGGCATCGATATAGTCACAACACCGCGCCCGATTAAACTCCAACAAACTGCTGTACGTGCGATCCGCCACGCCCACAAACAGCGCCTCTGAATCCGGGGAGAACGACACCCCCGCAATCTCCCCAAACAAATCAATCTCCTGGCTCCTCTCATACTCCCCCTTCACATCATACACATGTACGAAATCCGCCGGTTCCGCCACGGCCAAAAACCGGCCGTCGGATGAGAAACGGACGGACCGGATCGCGCCCATGCGGCCCTTGAGGGTGGCGAGGGAGCGGGAGAGGCAGCGCAGGTCCCAGACACGGCAGGTGGTGTCCTGATTGCCGGTGGCGAATGTGAGGCCGTTGGGGTGCCATGCGGATGCAAAGGAGTAGTCCACATGGCCACTCAGAGGCGCCACCACCTGGGGTAGAGGGAGGGGGGGTTGGGGGGAGCGAGCAAGGGGAGAGCAGGAGGGGGGGAAGGGAAATGACAACAGAGGAGAGGGGACGGAAGTAGGAGGTGAGAGGAGGAGGACGGAGAGGGAGCAGAGGGAGGCAGCGCAGGTCCCAGATGCGGCAGGTGGTGTCCTGGTTGCCCGTGGCGAATGTGAGGCCGTTGGGGTGCCAGGCCGATGCAAAGGAGTAGTCCACATGGCCACTCAGAGGCGCCACCACCTGGGGTAGAGGGAGGGGGGGGGGGAGAAGGAAAGGAGGGGAAAAGGCAATGACGGGCAGAGTGGGAAGGACGAGGAGGAGCAAAGGGCTCATAGGAGCAGTCTGACAAGCAGGAGGATTGAAACAAGAACCACGCATGAATAAACACAGCCCCTGCAATCACGAGAACTTGTAACCACCCACAGTAGATGTCACCTGGAACAATAACTTACCCACAATAACTTGTAACAACTTACCCGGCCAGACGTGGCATCCATGAGGAAGGCGTCTGGATCATTCCCCCCCCCCCCCCCCCACGACCAGCTTGCCAAGACCATGGTTACAGCCCCATGTACTCATGTGAGTGTCAACCCCCCCAATGTGATGTCAGTGCCACCACCCCTCCCCCTCCCCCCCCCCCTCTTCCCCAATGCGAATGGGAGCGTGAGCCTACCCGGCCAGACGTGGCGTCCATGAGAAAGGCGTCTGGATCATCCCCCACCACCACCACCAGCTTGCCGTTTGGCGATACTGACGTGTGCTGTGGGACGGGAGCGAAGGCAGGGACGGGACAAAGGGAGGAGACGGGAGAGGGGGGAGTGGTTGAAAAGCTGAATCGCGGAAAGTGGCAGGGGATTGGCACAGGGCTTGAAGGATGGTGCACACATGAATGGATGGGTGGAAGCTCGGTTGAGGTGTCACGAGCATGATATGCTCTCAACTTACATTGATGGGCCATGGCAGGTGGTGGCGGGCGATGATGGCGAAGGTGTCAGCATCAAACTCCCTCACAAGGCAGTCGTTGTTGGACGTCAACACTCGCACTGCGCCGCTGGTGTGGGGGCGAAGGACAGGGGCACAAGGGGAAGGGGAGTGGGATGGGGGAGGGGGGGTTCAGAAAGTGAGATGCGTGTGACTCCTCCGTCACGAGGCAGTCGTTGTTGGACGTCAACACTCGCACTGCGCCGCTGGTGTGGGGGCGAAGGACAGGGGCACAAGGGGATGAAGAAGGGGGAGGTGTTGGGGGGCCAAGGCGAGGGGCACAAGGAGAGAGAACGAGGGGAGGGGGTGGAAGGGGGTTTGTATTGGCTCTGGGGTGTGTGTGGCTCTGTTAAACGAGGAAACGAGGAAGAAGAGGCAATGGGATGCTAGTTGTGGCTTCGTTAAAGCATCCCATTTGTGAGAGCTGATGGCGCACTCAGCTCTGGTAACCCGTCCAGCATACGCCATGCCACCCTCTGCGCCACTCTCATCCCTCAACCCACGCTCATCCCCAAACCCCACTCTCCATCCCAACCTTTCCCCGCCCCTTTCCCTGCTCTCCTTCCCTCACCTGGCGGATTCAAAGATCTCTACAGCATTGGTTATCGCGCTCTCATCTCTTGTGATCCGCCCAGCATACGACACGCCGCCCTCTGCGCCGCTGTCCAGCCGCTTGCACACCATCTCGCCGTTGAACCCCCCCGCTGCCACCAGCCCGTTGCGCACACACAGCGTGCTCACCTGCACGCACACACCCCACGTTGGAGTATTTGTATTGTTCCCTGTTTTTTTCTTACTGCATCAATAAGAACACAACAAAAAGGGCAGCGCAACCAGCCCGTTGCGAAGACACTGTGTTCTTCCTGGCATGCACCCCATGTTGGAGGACTCGAAAGAAAGGAAAGAAAATAAGAAAAAAGGGAGGAAGAAAGACAGCATGATTCTGTTGCACACACAGCATGCTCACCTGCACCCGGCCCACTGGTTCCCACGTCCCATCATCCGCCATTCCTGCCCCATTTCCCCCTGCCGCCGCCCCTCCCCCCCCGTCCCCTCTCCCCGGCCCTGCTGCTCCCCCCGCGCCAGTGGCTACTCCCCCGCCTGCTCCGCCCGTTCCCCCCGTCCCCCCGCCCCCATAGAGCCTGGGTCCGCCTGGGCGCAATGTGGCAGTGGTGGCGCGCTGGTGGTACAGCCAGGGGGCGCGCTGTAGCTGGCGGAGAGCGAAGGGGAAGGGAAGGGGGACGGGAGGGGGAGGGCGAGGGGGGGTTGGGGTTGGGGTGGAAGTGGGTGGGCCCGGGGAGGGAATGGGGAGGAGACAAAGGAGGAGACGAGGGGGTAATGGTTAGAGGAGGGAGAGATCAAGAAAATGGGGGGAGAGGGGTGAGAGAAAGCTATTGGAAGAAGAGGAGGAGAGGGGGGGGAGGGGGAGGAGGAGGGGGTGACTGCAGCTAAGAAATGACAGCTTCACGAGGGGCAAGAAAAAAGAATGGGTGGGATGGGATCAGGTGTGGTGGGTGGGTGACACAAAACGGTAAAAAGGATGCGCTGCCCATGGGAAACGGGGCACCACGCGTTCACTCAAGTAACATGAAGTCGATGCAAGGGGGCATGGGTGCATGCAGGAATGTACTAAAGGCGATGTATGGATGCATTTGATCGTGTGTGCATGCATGCTCGCTGTACATGGGAGATGGGCACGACGGGTCCGCTGAGGTCAAGGAAGTCAACGGAGCGGCGGGAGAGAGCCGAGTAGTGGCCGATGGTGTGGCCGTGCATTGTGTACACGTCATGCTTCGACGTCGCCCACACTAGGTTGCGCAGCTGGGGGGGAGGGGGAAAACAAGGGGGAACAGAGGGGGGAGGAGGGACGCGGGGAACGAATGAGGTGTGTTGTGGCTGTTGATGTATTCGCATTGTGATGGCAGCGCGCATTGCAAGAGAAAGATTCAATGCAGAAAGCCTGGAAGGGGACGCACCTGGACGGGCGCACCTGGGGACGGGCGTACCTGGAAGTGCACGATGGTGGACTTGACAGCGCGCGTGTTGTAGGCGAAACTGAAGAACTCCGCGTCCGTGCTGACCTGCTTCACTTCCTGCGCGCAGGAAGCAGTCACACACGTAGAGTCACACACGTAGAGTCACACGCGCCGAGTCACACACGCACAGTCACCCATGCCAAGGCAAACGAACAGAGTTAGGGATGCACCAATGAAGCTGCACCGTTTGACATGCACAGTTGGAAATGCACCACTGGTCAAGTATGTGCGCGCACCTTATCACCCGCGCGCGCACCTTATCACCCGCAGTGCCCAAAGCCCACCTTATCCACAGCATCTAAGGGGACTTCGAGGTTCTTGTAGTTCTTGTACTGCTGCAGGCGCATGCAGCACGAGCTAAAGCACGTGCGCGCGCACCTTATCCACAGCGCCCCCAGCGCCCAAAGCGCACCTTATCAACAACATCTAACGGGACGTCGAGGTTCTTGTAGTTCTTGTACTGCTGCAGGCGCATGGCGCGGTACTTGGCACGCGTGAAGTGCAGCCGCTCCCACGGGATGCCCTGAATGTCCCGCCCGCGCGCCGCCTGCTGTGCACTCACGTCCGCCGCGCCTTCCAGCTGCCAGAGGGAGGGGGGAGGTGGGGCGAGAGGAGTGGCAGGGGCAGGGGCAGGGGCAGGGGCAGGGGCAGGGGCAGGGGCAGGGGCAGGGGCAGGGGCAGGAGCAGGAGCAGGGGCAGAGTCAGGTTGGAAAATAATCTCCAGATTCGAAGGGGATATGGCTGGAGCCGGTGAGTTAACTGAGATCCTTTGGAAGAAAAGCGACAGCCATACGCAACAGAGCGGAGACACAGCAGGCAGGGGCACGTGGGACAATGATACATCGGACAATGGACGATGGACGATGAACGAACCATGTCGTTGTCCTCGTCCGAGTCGTCTTCTCCTTGAAATTGCCGCGCGTCGGCCGTCCTGTCCCGCCGAGGCGTCGCGTCCCAGTCCCAATCTCCCTGTGAGCCGTCTTGGCTGTCCGCGTCGCTGCTGTCATCGGTATAGTCGCACGCGTCGCATTCGTCGCTGTCTTCGTCGCACATGTCGCAATCCATGACTGCTTCCTCCGAGTCTAGATACCGCTGCGCTCGAGGCAACAGACCGATTCGCGAAAAAACATGAGAAATAAACGGGTACGGCAGAAGTAGGAGATCTTAAGAGAAAAAAAAGGTATGGAAGCATCTCCGGCAGATCAGTACGAGTTGACGAGACGAAAAGCGAATGGTTTAGCCAGCATGAACGTGTATCTGAACGAAACTGGCTGTGCAAAAGGTTCTGACGATCGAGGAGCTAACCATGTAATCCGCTTCGCCATCTTCTGTCGACGTCGCCATGCCTTCAGCGTACGAGTTCGACACCACTAAAGAGAACGGGCTACAAATTTTTGTCCCGCCTTTGTCAACCGCCCATATTGGCTATTAAAACCAGGAAGCACCCGCAGAAGACTTTGCTACGCGGAAAAAAAGGGAGAAAAAACAATTCGCAGCGCGTGACCCTAAGAGTACCGTAAGCTGCATCGGAGCTGGAAATAGGCGCCAAGATGATCACACGAAATCAGAATACAACGCGCGTCGCGTTATGCTTCGCAAGATTCTGTGGAATACGAAGGGTAGGGAGAACCTAGAACAAGCAAGTGAGAAGAAACTTGCGTGCTGGGGGATTTGAGCAGCAAGATTGGAAGGGTGGGTTGGGTGGATGTGAATGTAGGAAGTCAGGGAGGAAAAGACGGGAAAGGAAGACCCTGGGAAATGACACAACAGACTAGAATCAAGGCTGCTGTCGCTCTGCCTAATCGCATGTAGTGCGACTTCATGGCGTTCTCGCATCTGTGCGGATAGAACGATCACTTGCTGTGTGCCAGCGATTGCCCTGGGCAAATCTACAAGGGATGGGTGGTTGTGCGATCACCAGACGTCTTGTCGCACCGGCTTTGTACACATTGGGCGTATCTTCTTGTCGCAAGTGTCCCTTGCGATAGCCCTGGGCTTGGCCATCGGTCGCAACTGCTGTTATTGCAGATGGGACATTACAACAACCCCACCAATGAGAAGTGCCCCTGTGTTGCATGTGCTACTGGACACGCGGCACGGGCTCTTTGACCAAACCAAGGGTTTGCCCAAACACTGTAGCGAGCGTCGCAGGAAAAAATCCAGATGTCGCTCAGACCCTGGGTCATCGTCACGGCCCATTAGACAGTACAGCGAGAAACTCCTGCGACCAGCTGGCGAACCGCTCGAGGACTCGTCGAGCGGGCTGTTTGTATAGAGAGGTCCCGCCGAAATGTGCTATTGGTAGGCCACCATTCACTGTTGGCACACACTCGACATAGTACCTTTCGCTCAACCCTGGGCGACCAGTGATTGGCTGCCAGGTGCTTGTGTCACAAGCTGAACAGTTGATTCTCCTTTTTGCAACTACCCCTTTATTGCAAAAGACGCTACTGTAATATTATTTCCATTCCTTTCTCAAATAACCCATACTCTAGTTATGTATAATAGATAAATACCTTCTTAAAAATAAAAGCTTCTTGCAGATCAGTTCAGATACCAATAGCATCAAGCAACTTCCAGTGGTCCCACACAGGGGTCAGAGTGTTAGCCGCCACCACTCCACTGGCGGCAACCGCTGGCACACCGATGCCCGGAAACGTCGAATCGCCACAGCAAAACAACCCCGGAAGTGGCGTCGTTGAGCCTGGAAACGTCCCCGAACCTGCCTTGATTGCCGGGCCATAAGTGCCTCGGTGCCGTCTCAAATACCGCCCATGAGTCAAGGGAGTGCCAACCAATGCCAACTCACACTGATCACGTGAGAACCCCGGACCAAGCACCCTTTCCACTGCCTTCCACATCACCTCAGCCCTCTCCTCCTTCAGTTTCTTGTACTCAGCTGACCGCCTATCCAGGCCTTGCCACAGGGAAGCGGGCTCGGTTCCCGGAGTGTACGCGTGCAATGAGACGGTGCCAGGTGGCGACAGCGAGGCGTCGAGAACCGTCGGGATGGAGATGAGAACCACGTTTTGAGGAGCGTCGACGCCCACGGACCAATCATTGACCACGATGTGATGGATCTCCAAGTCAGCAGGAAGATTCTCCTTCTTGATCCCCAGATGCAGGTGCATGAATGAATCACACTCGGGTGTAGCCTCCTTTTCTTTCCGATACTCCCCGGGTACACTCCCGGGCGGCAGCAGTCGCATGGTATCCCACACCGACGCATTACTCACCACGGCTGTCCGGGCGCGAACAATCCGCCCAGATTTAAGTTTTACGCCGACTGCCCGGCCGCCCTCCACCACTATGCTGTCCACGTGGCAGTTCAGGGAGAGCTGCCCGCCGTGCTTCTCCATCCCCCTTATAAGCGCCTCGATAATCGCCTCGGGACCGCCGAGAGGGTACTCCATGACGCTCCCAGGCTTGTACCACTCTGCAAACATGTACACCTGGGGGAGGGGTAGGGGGGAGTAAGGGGTGGAAAAGACAATGCTTTAGGTGCCTTGAGAATTCCAATATTTGAGGGGACCAACAGTAGCTTCTGAGGCGACTAGGGATGAGGGTACTCCATGATGCTCCCAGGCTTGTACCACTCTGCAAACATGTACACCTGGGGGAGGGGTAGGGGGGATAGGGAGTTACGGGGGTGAGGGTGTTCAGAAGTGAAGGGCAGGGATCCTGAGAGAGGCAAGGAGAGAAAAGGTGAAGATACCATGGCAGAGAAACTGTGGAAGTGGAGAAACTGCAGGCAAGAACAATACTTCAACGGAAGCGGAGGAAAATGCGAGAGTTGCTCACCACTTCAGCAGCAATGGTGGCATCGGCCTTCTGCCCCGAGAGCAGGAAGGAGAGCAGGTCGATCCAGTTGCGCACAAACGGGTGCTTCACTCCCACTGAGTCGGCTAGTGAGGAGAACGGCCCCAAGAGCTTAGATGCGTTGAGTGCAGCTGGAGGGAAGGCGTGGGGGTGGGGGAGAGGGGTGAGAATGGCGCAAGGGAAGAGGAGGAATGAGAGGTGAGTCCAAGGTGGGCAAGAAGAGGCGTTTTCATCTGCCCACGCCACGCCACTGCACTGCATTGTGCTACGCTGCCTTGCACCTAATCCATTCGCCAATGCCAATGACTTTAGAGTCGACTCAAAAGTCACCACCACCATTCATCATGACTCTTGACTTGGAGGATTCACAACTGAGAAACATCAGAATCCCCCCATCGCCTCACCTGCAGGCCCGGCGCTGCCGAATGTGCGGAGCAGGCTCGGGCCGTACCTCAGCCCTGCAGTGAGTAGCACAGCAGGATCGGCACGGAGAGCGGCTGGGGGAAGGGCCATGGAGGGCCCGGCTAGAGGCTCCACCACTGCCTGCGGGGCGGGGGGGGGGGGGGGGGGAAGTGCATTCAGCATCTGGGGGGAGCGCCATGGAGGGCCCGGCTAGAGGCTCCACCACTGCCTGTTGGGGTGAGGAGGAAAGTGGGAAAGTGGGAAAAGGGGGGTGGAGGAGAGTGGGTGGGGTGCTGTGCTGTGCTGCACAGAGGAGCCGAGGGGAGGGCCATGGAGGGGCCGGCTAGTGGCTCCACTACTGCCTGTGTGAGTCGGGGGAGGGAGAAGGGGAGGGGGATGGAGGATAGGAGGGAAGGGAGGGCCATGGGGGGGCTGGCTAGAAGCTCCACTGCTGCCTGTCCTGTGCTGGGGGGATAGGATGTGTGTGGGGGTGAAAAATTGTGGGATAAGGAAGGGGTGGGTTGGGGAGAGTGGCCGGGGAGATGCTAGTAGGCCCAGAGCTACCTGTGTGGCACTGAGAGGAGAGCGTGTGGGGCGGAATGGGATGTGGCGAATGAGCAGGATAGGATGGACGCACGGCTGGCACAGCAATCGGGCAGTTAATAAGCGAATCAATATGCACACCGACAGGCGAATCAATATGCACACCGACAGGCGAATCAATATGCACACCGACAGGCGAATCAATATGCACACCGACAGGCGAATCCAGGAGTGAAATTAAAGCGCACATCGCAACCTATTGGCACGAATGGGTGCAGAGAGCAAGGGAGGTAGAGATGTACGAGGTGACTCACCATTAGTTTGCGCCAATCCTGCACTGCCTCCTCCCCCACACGCTGCTGTAACACCTGCGCGACAGGGAGGGCGGGAGGGAGGGATGGAGGTCGGGGGGAGAAGGAGTAAAAGGCAGGAGCAGAGAAGGAGTAAAAGGCAGGAGCATAGAAGGGAGCATAGACGAGCAGCGCAGAGCTTTGTGAGCAGTCGTGAACTAACTGAGGTCATCAGTATAGTGCGTGCGAGAGGAGTGCAAATTCGTTATTATCTTACCACTGCCCGCGCACCAGCGCACCTGCACGCGTAGCCACCTACCAACCTGCGCACGTGCGCACGTGCACATGACAGGAGAATTTAGGGAAGACAGAAATTGGACACTACTAACACACCTCAATGAAGTGAGAAGGGCCGATGCGGGATAAGAAGTCCCCTTCAGGGAGGTAGCACATCCAGCTGTCGTACGCCGCGCACGGCACCGACTCCCCCAGCGCGTCGAGAACCTGCGCGAGCGGGTTCGCCTGCGGGCCGCGCGACGACAATCCTGAGAACAGCGACGGGCCCGTGTCGAACGAGAAGCCGTTTCGCGTGAATCCGTGCGCCGCGCCGCCCGGGAGGTAGTGGCTTTCGAGGACCAGCGTGTCGCGGCCGTAGCGCGCCAGGAGGCTGCCGCAGCACAGCCCGCCGATTCCGGAACCGATGACGATGACGTCAGCCTCGGTCTTGCCGCGGAGGCCTCTCCGCTGCTTCATGTCTTCCGCCACTGTGCTCTCTTCCGCCTCCGCTGAATCCGCCGCCGCGCTGCCCGCAGAGGCTGCTGCGCGCATGAGGAAAGTCCGCCCATCGTGTGGTTGCACGGAATCGCGGCCGTAAGGTGAAGCGAGTTTCGTCCGATTCCTGATGCCCGGATTCCCGCGCAAGGCGGCAAGATTAGCATGATGACTGAGTAAAGATTTAAGGAGGGAGCTTTTAGACGATTCTCCGTGAAATGAGCTAGCATTGCGCGCCGGGATTACGGACGCTGGCAGCAGTGTGGTGACAGAGGCAGCCATAGTCATGGAATGGAAGATTTTCAGGTTCTGGTGATGCAAATGGGACTACGCGGATTCCAGAATGAACAGTGGCTGCTTGTACCGGAGATGTTCAACTCGGACTAATAATGGAGAAAGAAATTGCTTTCATTTCACTTAGATTTAGGGAATCAATCAGTTTTCCTGTGGGAATTTTTTTTATGAATTTGCAAGCTATTGTTTGTTTTAATCTGGAAACTCCTAGAAAATAAAATGAACCTGTTACGAGTGCAATTGAGTGAGCGAGCGAGGATTGCACTATCGAGACAAGAATACAATGAGCGAATGATTGAGCGAAGAATATATAGCGAAGCTACAGTGGTAATCGTAACGTGTGGTCAATGGGGTGTGCGACGGGCCTAGTGCCGAGGTTGGGAACTGTCGAGGCGGAGGTCCGGAGCGCGGGTTACCAACCGAACCGTGAGGTTGGGTCGCATCGTGAACAGTGGTGGGAATGGGGTCGAGGCGAATGTCGCGAGTGGTAACGGATTATTGTGGGGTGCTGTTGGCGGGAACACTGGTGTACGCGCTAAGCAGGGACGAGAAGTAAGGAAAAAGGATTTTCCTTACAGAACCACTCTTGAGATTCATTTTGTTTGCGCCCTTTCCAGGGCGCCGTGCCATGCAGAGAATTGTCGATCGTGATAAAGGAATGCCCATTGCAAAGTCTCACGCGTCGCATTGATGATCTCCACCGAGTCGTCCTTCGTTTGACGCAGCATCGCACTTCGCTATAGCAGAAAATTTACCAATGTTGACCGCCTCACCGCGACGCGATAACACCGACATTGCATTCGCTTGCCTTGCCTCAACTCTCCCTCTTCCTCTTCCCCATCCTCCCCAATTTGAACCTCACCCCACCCCACCCCTGACCCAGACTATTTATTTGTTTGGCATTCGTCAACACTCTGTTTGGCCCACAACCTCCGTGTTCAAACCATTCCACATCACTGCAGTCATTCCGAGATTCTCTCATCCACGAGATTCCATTCCAACTCAAGAGCACTTGCCACATTTCTACCTCCTCTGCACGGAACGCAAACTGCACGACATGGCGCGCGGAAGAACTCGACTAGCAGCACTAGCCCTGCCGCCTCTCTTACTCGTTCTCCTTATCGCAACCCGCACAGCAGCAGTCGAGGAGTACGGCGTGTGGGACAGCAAATTCACGGGCACGCTCTCCTTGATTCAAGGCGAGGACGGCGGCTCGTGCAGCTACGGCAAGACCAATGGCGTGCGGCCCTACAATCTCCCCACCATTGCGATTTCCTCCAAGCTCTACGAGAACGGCACCGGATGCGGCGCGTGTTACGCTTTGCAATGCGTCAAGTCGCAGATGTGCCGCCAGGATAAGATCGTCGCCGTGACGGCCACTAGCGAGTGCATCGGGCAGCCTCGATCCGGAATCTGCCGGCCCGGGAAAAAAGGAGTTATCATGTCGCCGTGGGTGTACGATCAGATTGTGAAGAATCGCGTCGCGGGGAACATTCGCGTGCGACTCGCGCGAATCCCTTGCAAGCGACGCGGTGGGCTCATTTTCAAGCCGGTCATGGGGACAGATTATTTTATTGGGGTGCTTTTAATGAACGCCGCAGGGCCGGGCGGAATCGTGTCCGTGCACATGAAAGTGGGCGGCGCGGGGTGGCTTCCCATGGCGCGGAATTTCGGAGGGGTTTGGTCAGCGAGCGGAGTGAAAGTCATCGGCGTACCGATTTCGTTTCATGTCGTCAGTGCGCTCAAGAAGTTAAGTGTCACGGCGCTGAACATACTGCCTGCCACGTGGCGTGTCAACGGGACATACGTGTTCCCCAAGAATTTCCCATTGACGGCCTGAATTTGTCGTCTAGGGGGACTGGCGTGACGCTTGATTAGGTTTAGTGGGAAATCTGTTAGCTGTAGATCGCAGGAAAATGACCAACACAAGTGGTTTGAGAAGGGGGAGGAGCTACGTTAGAGGAAATTATGTGTTGTGGATGGACTGAGGGTTAGCTATTGCAGCTGTGTGCGTTAGTAGGTCAGGGATGGGGAAGAGAAATCACATTTTGTCAGATAAAGCTGGCTGTTTGAAGCAGCTATATGAAAAGCTGTTTCCTTCAGGTGGCCTTGATGGATTCCAAATAAATTGTCTTTCCACTTATAGAAAGTTTGAGACACTATCACGCCAGCAGATATTGGAAGGTCCATTCATATGCTAGAACCTGCACAGGAACCCTCCCCAGCCGAACCTTCTTGGAAGCTCCAGCAGCACCCATAGCCTGCAGAATGTTTTGCTTCTGCCCGTCTTCCATTTGCTCCGCTGCCCATTGCAGGAGCCCCGCTGCGTTTCTTGCGAAATCCTTGCTGTACCAGTGCAGGAGCTTGGGCAGCAGAATTTTCCCACTGCCCGGATGCAGGTTTACGTTTGCCCGAATGTAGTCCTGGGCAGCTGCCTTCAGCTGCTCATGAACAGTGTCGGAACGGTACACTCGCACCTGATTCGTTGGAGAAATTGGTGGTAAAATACGAAACACCAAGGGCACGTGGGACATACAATTGCAAATCAGGGTACGAATGGGATGGCACAGCAAGATGTGACATGAGGTTTATGTTTGATTGGAGAATGACATGGAATGGGAGAATGTAAGTGGCATGGCATGCTGGCACACGTGAAGGAATCAGAAAAGGCGGAGCGGGACGGGGGAGGAAGGCGAGTGAGGAGACCAAAGAGGGATGGGAGGCTTACAGGGGGAGCGGAGGCACAGCCACAGCTGAGAGCAAAGGTGACAAGAGGCTCGGGCCGGTCCAGAGCCAGGCTGTAGCGCACGTCTCCCCGCCTGTAGCGCTGCACTGGCAGCAGACCCGCCTGGGAAAAATGAGGGGAAGAAGTGGAATTTTGTGCGAGAGAGAGGGAGAGGAGGGAATGGCAGCGGTGGACGAAAATCTGATATATGTGAGAATCATGGGACTGAAAGGGTGAGGGAAAGAGAGAGAACGATGAGAGTTGATGATGTGGAAATGTGTGCAAGTGTGCGCGTGAGAGTGATAAGGGAGCTGGTGTTACCAGTGCTGGTTGGAAGGACGCGGCTCTTAGAATGCAGTGCTCTATAGCGAGGATGGAGAAGGGCAGGCCGGCAATGATGTAGGCCGACTGCATGGATGGGGGCAGGGGGCGCGCAGGGTGGAGGAAGTGGGGACAGAGGAAAGGGGGTAGGGGAAAGGGGTTGGTGAGAGGAGGGCAAGAGCAGGGAGATGAAGGAGAAGAGGAATAAGAAGGGTTGAGGGCAGGATGGCAGAAACTGGTAATGGGGGGAGTTGACTGGAAGAATAGGAGGAGTGGGAACTGCAGATACAGAATGGGTAGCACCAAATTAGCATGGAGTAGGGAAACGAGGGGAGGAAAGCAAGGGGCTGAGGGGAGGAGAATGAGGGAAGGGGAGAGAGGACTCAAACCTTGTGCATGAACATGACTCGCTTGTAGTGGCTGCGCGGCTGGCCATACACCAGGTACGCCTGGGTGGGGAGATGAAACGAGTGGAGAAGCGACGAGAAGAAAGAGAGGAGAGGCCAAGAAATAAGATGGTGGAGGCAGGGAGATGGGGGGATGATAGATGAGTGGGGAGAGAGGAAAGTGAAGGCTCGGATGCATGCTTGGAAATGAAAGTGGGGTAATGATGACAGAGGTAAGCACTGGCTCTATGCTGCTCCGTTCTCTATCAGAGGGATGACTGTGCATCCAACATCACAACACTACTAACATAGTATCCATACGACAAAAGCCAACTTGCATGTACGGCAGGGATGTGCATGACACAACATGACCCCTCTAGTTCGCACATAACCCCACTCGCATCCCACCATGTTCCCTCGCATCCCACCATGTTCCCTCGCATCCCACCATGTTCCCTCGCATCCCACCATGTTCCCTCGCATCCCACCATGTTCCCTCGCATCCCACCATGTTCCCTCGCATCCCACCATGTTCCCTCGCATCCCACCATGTTCCCTCGCATCCCACCAAGTTCCCTCGCATCCCACCATGTTCCCTCGCATCCCACCATGTTCCCTCGCATCCCACCATGTTCCCTCGCATCCCACCATGTTCCCTCACATCCCACCATGTTCCCTCACATCCCACCATGTTCCCTCACATCCCACCATGTTCCCTCACATCCCACCATGTTCCCTCGCATCCCACCATGTTCCCTCGCATCCCACCATGTTCCCTCGCATCCCACCATGTTCCCTCGCATCCCACCATGTTCCCTCGCATCCCACCATGTTCCCTCACATCCCACCATGTTCCCTCACATCCCACCATCCCACCATGTTCCCTCACATCCCACCATGTTCCCTCGCATCCCACCATGTTCCCCCACATCCCACCATGTTCCCTCACATCCCACCATGTTCCCTCACATCCCACCATGTTCCCTCACATGCCCCAACAACCCCCCTCGCATGCCCCAACAAACCCCCTCGCATGCCCCAACAACCCCCCTCGCATGCCCCAACAACCCCCCTCACATGCATGGCAAGAGCGTTGTACACGTTGATCCAGAAGGCCAGTCGCTCCGAGTGCCCAAGCTGCTGTGGCTGCACGTCCGCCAGCAGCTCCGACAGGATCCTGAGGGAGAGCGGGGGGGGGGGGGGGGGGGGGGTGAGATTGCACATGTGAGGGCAAGTGTGTATGAGTGCAAGTGTGTGTGAGTATGAACGCGCGTGTGTGTCTGTCTGAATGCCCTAGCTGCTGTGGTTGCGCGTCCGCCAGTAGCTCCGACAGGATCCTGAGACCATGGGGGGTTAGGGAGGGGTTTAGGCGTGTGTGCGCGCATGTGTGTGAGTGCCCCAGCTGCTGTGGCTGCACGTCTGCCAGCAGCTCCGATAGGATCCTGAGCTAGTGGGGGGGCATGTGGGGGGGCTTGGTGTGGCGGTTTGGAAGGGTACAGATGCACGCGTGCATGTGTGTGAGTGCCCCAGCTGCTGTGGCTGCACATCCGCCAGAAGCTCTGACAGGATTCTGGGACGAATGATTGGTGGGAGAAGAGACTGTTTATTAGGGCACCTGGCTCTGTTGCGAGGCACCTGGATCTGTCGCAAGGCACCTGACTCTGTTGCAAGGCACCTGACTCTATTGCAAGGCACCTGACTCTGTTGCAAGGCACCTGACTCTGTCGTAAGGCACCTGACTCTGTTGCAAGGCACCTGACTCTGTTGCAAGGCACCTGGCTTCTCACCTGAACCGCTGCAGCTCATGACGGTGTGCCGTGCCTGCCTCAGATGCCAGATAGTCCAGAACCACTTGCACATCCTTTACAGTCACATTTCCCCCATCCGTTACAGTCACAGCAGCATCAACAGGTGTTGAGTCACCCACAAAAACATCCTCTTCCGGCAAGTGAGGATCAACGCCAGCAACAGCAGCTGCTGCCCTTGCATAAGTGCCAGGAAGACTGGCAGCAGAGGACCAGGGGGACTTGGTAGTGGCAGCAGAGGGGGTGGAGGTGAGAGAAGCAGCGGGCGAGTGTGGGGCAGCAGTGGTGTGGGAGTGCGTGTGGGAGTGCGTGTGGGAGTGCGTGTGGGAGAGGGCAGGAGAGGAGGCGGAGCGAGAGAAGACTCTAGGACCCATCCAGGAAAAGGAGCGAGGGCGTTCAGACGGGTTGCCTGGCTGCTGCTGCTGCTGCTGCTGCTGCTGGTGATGCTGCTGGGTGGATATTTTGGAAGGCAAGGGAGGGTGAGAGGTTGAGAGAGGGGTGGGAGTGTCAATGTGAGCCAGGGAGGAGTCAGAGTTCCGGGCAGAGATGGACGGCTGAGATGCTCCGGAGCCCAGCGATGCGAGCGATGGTGAGGATAACGAGGAGGTCAGTGTGGGGGATGTGTTTCCATGAGAGGCGGCGGAGGGTGAAGCAGCAGCAGCATCAGTAGCAGAAGCAGCATTAGCATTAGCAGTGGCAGCAGCCTTATAGATGTCGAGAACACCATTAACGAGAGCCACAGAGAGCGCCACTGCTCGCCCCATGTACTCCCCCCTCAGCCGTTCCCTCACCGGCCTCGCACTCGACAGCCCCTGCATGCCGCCCTGCCCTTCCCAAATAGGGCTCGCCCCCTCTGCACTGGCGACAGAATTCGCAGTTCCGTTGACAGTAGCACTGGCACTGGGGTCATTGACACTGGCAGCAATGGGAGTGTTGGGAGCGTTGGGAGTGGTGGGAGTGTTGGGAGTGGTGGGAGTGTTGGGAGTGTTGGGAGTGGTGGGAGCAACAGCATCAGTAGACTCAGCAGCACAAGGTGCAGCGCTAATAGCATGAGCTGATGCAGAAGCAGCAGTACCATCAGCGGCAGCCAAAGCAGCAGCTGCCGCAGCAGCAGTACCACTAGCTGCAGCAGTGATAGCAGCAGCAAGAGAAGCATCTGCTTCCAAAAGCTTATCTGGGTTACCATGTAACCACAGGTTGAATGAGCTCCGAATCTGCACGTCCCTGCCCTCCACGACCTCTGCTGAAACCACCTGATTTTCCACCTGGAAATCCACCTGGGAGTCTCTGCTGTTCAGCGCGGCGCTGTTGCGCTGACCTCCAACCCACCTTCCACTTGCACTCCCCCCAACCCCCCTCTCACCCCCTCCCCCACCCCAAATCCCCACTCCCCTTCCCCCTTCCCCCAAACCTTCTTCCCCCTTCTCCCCCTCCCCCATGCGCCAGCTCCCCCTGCGCCCCCGTTCTTTCCCCAGAGGGCCGCCCTTCCCCCGCCCCTCCTTGCTCCTCCTCTCCTCCCCCCTCCTCTCCTTCTCCTGTCTCCTCTCCTCCGCCCTCACCTCTCGAGCCGCTAGCATCATGCCCTCCCTCTCCTCCCTCTCCCCCTCCCTCGCCCGCTCTCGCAATCCTATCACCTCGGCCTTCTGCCTTCTCCTCTCTGAGCGCGCAGCAGAAGCAGCACCAGAGGCAGCACCAGCAGCAGCACCGGAGGTAGCAGCAGAGGAAGCAGTAGCAACAGCACCAGCAGCAATACCAGAAGCAGCACCAGCGTTGCCAACACCGTTTGAGTGGTCCTCCTCGGTACCACTAGTGGTTGTGCTGGTGCTGCTGGGTACAGTGCGGTGACTGGTGGTGATGAGGGAAGCAGCGGCAGTGTCTTTGCTGCTGCCACGTGGCAGATTCTGATTGAGTGGAGAGGAGTAGCCATTATGTGCGTCAGTATGGGCAGCGGGAGGAGACTGTTGAGAAGGAGCCACGGGGTGTGCGGCATGCTGCTGCAAGCGAGGCGTGATGTGGAACTGGCATGGGGCCATGGGAGCATGGGAGCATGAGAGCATGGGAGCATGGGAGCATGAGGCATGGGGGTATATGGGGCATGGAGTATGGGAAGACGGGGCTATGGGGGTATGGGGGTGTGGGGCCTGGCTGGCTCTATGGAGCATGGGGCATGGGGGCATGGGGGCATGGGACAATGGGGCAATGGGAGCATGGGGCAATGGGGCAATGGGGCAATGGGGGCATGGGGCAATGGGGCATGGGGCATGGGGCATGGGGCATGGGGCAATGGGGCATGGAGCATGGGGCATGAGGCATGGGGGAACGGGGTCAGGGGAGGCATGGTTCGGGTGCATGGAAAGCATAGATGCACGGTTGCATGGATGCACGGTCGCATGGATGCACATAAACCTTAGCTTGTAAGTGCAAGTGCTTCGAAGCACTTTTTCTAACCGCTCTTCGTCTCACCACCCCTCTTCTCACCACCCCTCTTCTCACCACCCCTCTTCTCACCACCCCTCTTCTAACCACCCCTCTTCTCACCACCCCTCCTCTCACCACCCCTCTTCTCACCACCCCTCCTCTCACCACCCCTCCTCTCACCACCTCTCTTCTCATCACTCGTCTTCTCATCACCCTCTCTCACCTCTCGCATCCTCACCTCATGAAAGCAGCGGTGGCAGAAGAACTCGCCACATGGCACGCAGAGCACAGCCGGTGCAGCCTCTTGGCACAGCTGCTGCGTCGCACTGCCACCTCCTTCTGGCCTCCCTCCCCCACCCTGCTGCTGCCCGCCCTGGTGCTGCGTGCGCGCACAGCAGAGGGGGCAGAGGGGCGGGGGCTGATCCAAGCAGAGGGAGAGCGGATGACCCAGATCTGGATGGGGGGGAGGGTGGGGAGAGGGGGGAAGGGGGGGGGAGAAGAAAGGGGAAGAAGGGAGGGAGGGGGGAAATAGAAGGATGAGATGAGTGGGGACAGGGAAAGGGGGGGACGGTGGAAGTGTGGCACCAAACGATTTCACCCTGGAATTTCACCTGAGAGGAGGAGATCACCTGAGAGCAGGATTTCACCTGAAAGTATCTTCTCCCCATAGAGTTCCTCCTCTGCCGCCCACTGCATCTGCAGCCATGACAGGACACAGGCACGAATGGGGAGGAAGGAAGGGGGGAAGGGAGGCGGGGGGTTGGGGGGGTTGTAAGACTGTTTATCAAGAAACACAAACAGTGGCAGGGAGTGAAGATGGTTGTTTGTTCGGCATTGGGTTGTAGGAGGGGCGATTGAAGAGCTAAGGAGACGCGTGCTTGCTACGTGATGCCATGTTGTGAAGCTCTCTGGGAAACGCGTTCACCCGAGCTCTCTGGGAAACGCGTTCACCCGTGCGCCAGCAAGCTTTGTGGTAAAAGTGTGGTTACCAGTTCCAGTCCCGACCAGTGCACAGCATCTCTCACCTGTGCTTCGTAGAACTCCCCATCATCGTCCCACTCCTCATCATCCTCCTCTGATTCCTCCGTCTCCTCCTCCTCCCCCTCCCCTCCCTCACTCTCGCTCCCTAACAGCTCATTCATCCTCCCCTCCCTACCCTCTTCCACACCACCCGCTACCCTCTTGCTACGAGCTCCAGGCACGGAGGCAAGCTTTAGGGCAAGCTCGGCAGCAGGTTCGGGAGGAGGGAGGGGCTTCGGGACCTGAACCTGTGGCTTGTGCTTTTCGGTGATTGCAATGATCTGAAGGGGAGGGAGAGAAGGGAGGGGGGTGGGCGAAAGGGAGAGGAGAGGAGGAGGGAGGGGCTTTGGGACCTGATCCTGTGGCTTGTTCTTGTCGGTGATTGCAATGATCTGAAGGGGAGGCAGAGGGGGGAGGAGCAGAGATAGAGAGGAGGGGGAGAAGAAACGGAAACTGTTTATAAAGATAAAAATGGGAAGAAAGTGGTGGGGAAGAAGTGAGCATGGTACGTACGAAGAGTGAGGGGGAGACAGGGTGAGGAAGCAAGAGTGTGGGGAAGAGAGAGCGTGTGGGAGAGGGTTGGGCCGAACCTGTTCGAGAGAGAGCGGGTACCAGTGGTCTAAGAGGCCGAAGCAGTTCTTGTGCGCTAGCAGGAATATCTGGTGGGGGAAGGTAGGAGGGGGGGAAGGCAGCAGAAACAGTGGGGCATGGCACGGCATGCCAGTGGTCCAACAGCCCAAAGCAGTTCTTGTGCGCTAGCAGGAATATCTGGTGAGGGAGATGGGGAGGGGAGGGAGGGGGGAAAGGGGGGGTGGCGTGGTGGGGTATGGTATGGCAGGGCATAGCACACTGTGCTGCCACTGCATGCCAGTGGTCTAAGAGGCCGAAGCAGTTCTTGTGCGCTAGCAGGAATATCTGGTGGGGGAGATGGGGAGAGGGGGGGGGGGGGGGGGTGGGGGGGTGGTAGGGGGAGGGAGGAGGTGACGGGGGAAACGACGTTGCGGATGGGAAGACCTGAAATAGGCAGTGTTGATTGTCTGGACGTAGATGTGTGACGCAGGTGGCATGGCAAGGCGTTGCATTGCCTCAACCATACCCAACCATACCCAACCATACCCAACCATACCCAACCAACCCACCTGCTCCCACCTACCTTCCTGGACGAGCTGATAAGCAGCCGCTCTGCGCTGTTCTGCACGCCCCAATACTCCTGTGCTGGCATGAGGCAGCAGCACCAGCACACGCATTCCCACACCCTCGCCCGCGCCCACACCCATAACCACACCCACCTGCCCCCACGCACCTGCCTGAGCGAGTTGATGAGCAACCGCTCTGCACTGTTCTGCACACCCCAGTACTCCGCCTGGGCCCGCACCACCTTGTATGCACACATCAGCGGCCGCTCCCTCTTCTGCCACCCCGGGGTTAGGGGACCGCGACTGGTGGACGAAGAGGGGGGCGATGGGGGGAGAGTGGGATAAGACATGGCACCACCTTGTACGCACGCATGTGCGGCTGATCCCTCTGCTGCCACCCCCGTGGACAAGGGGCCTAGCCTGGTGGAGGAAGGCGACGGAGAGGGAAGGAGGGAGAGGGGAGGAGAGGGAGGGAGCGTAAGATGGGAGCGGGGAGGGATGATTGTGGGCGAGCCTGTGCGCACACATGAGGGGGCAAGGCGATGGCTGTGCTGCCACCCCGGGGCGTAACAAGCGTTGAATCAAGGAAGAGGGGGAAAAGGAGGCCTTCACATGCATTGGCTGGCGTTGACTGGCGTTGACTCACCCTGTGAGCTTTGACCGGACCAACAGTGGGTCGAGCTCGGCATTGTAGTCGCGTTTCGCCACGGGCTCACTGCCAATGTCCATCCAGTCCACCCGCCGCAGCGCCCTGACAATCCCAAGGCGTTGACTGGCGTTGACTCACCCTGTGAGCCTTGACCGCACCAATAGCGGGTCCAGCTCGGCCTTGTAATCCCTTTTAGAAACGGGCTCGCTGCCAATGTCCATCCAGTCCACCCGCCGCAGCGCCAGCTCAGCTGCCGACAATCCCAAGGCGTTGGGGTGTGAACCGTCGTCCTGCAAGTGGATGGTCTCGATCTCCATGCGCAGCTGGGGAGGGTAGAAAGAGGGGGGGGGAGAGTAGGCGTTGAGAAGGGAGAGAAGAGGCTTAGATGGAATTGACGCTGGGGAAGGCCAGCGTCAAGCGTCAATTCGGACCGAATTGACACTTGACGCTGGACAGGGACTTTGACGCTTGACGGTCCCCCAAAAAGTTTTCAGGCAGCCCGAAATCGGAAAAAAAAATCGCACAAAAAAAAATCAACATTGAAGTTCAGGCCAAAAACGAGACTTCAAAAATTACTCGACATTGCAACACACTGAAAAACCACAACACAAAAAACAACCCCCCCACCCCTTTCAACCGCTCAACAACTACAAAACGCAACCTGCAGACACACCTATGATGGATTATACGCTCTAGACCCTTTGCGTTTAGAGTATCTACGCTAGCGTGTACACGCAATACGCTAAACGCTAGCGAATACGCTACGCGATACGCAGCCATAATTTTTTTCGGGCAGCCCGGGAAAGTAAAATCGCAGAAAAGATGCGGACTTTCTTGGTGAGCATTTCGCCGAAGTCGAAATGCAAATCCGCGGTCTATGCAAGCTGGGATCTGACTTCGAAGTTTTCAGGCACATCTGGCTATTCAAATGTCGAATTTCAGGTCCCATCTAGGCATTTGAACCCATCCCCTCTACTGCATAAAAAACCATCTTATCTACGAACCCCAACCTATCAAAATCGAACCCCCAACAAATCTCACGCTACTTACCAGCCAACCCAACTCCTAACCCGTCATTTCCTACCTTGCATTCCCGCTTGCTGCAGTGTCCCCGCGCACTCCGACTTGAACAGCCTCTCCAACACTACTCCCTCTAGCTATGATGTCTACTCCCCGCCCCGCCCCACCCCACCCGCCGATCGACGTCTTAGTGAGATGAGATAGGGGGTAATTTTTTTCCACCCTGCCCGAAATGTTTTTTAGCCTGCCCGAAAAAGCGTATGCCTGATCCGACCCTCAAGCGTATGGCGTATACACGCTACCGTATATACGATACGCATATATACACTAAACGCGTATAATCCATCATAGAGACACACATTTAGCACAAGCACAACTCCCGCGACTTCATTCTAGGTTTACGACCAGCAGCAAACTCGATTCCTAGCTTAGCGCGCGCGACATTAGGGTTAGCGTTTTTAGTAGAAACTGATCCTACTGCCACGGCTTCCTCCAACCCTAGTACATCGAATGAAGGCGCCCATGGGGCATCAATAGCTGGTTCTAGCGAAGGAATAAAGTACGAAGAATCACATGATATTATGTATGCATGGTACTATTTATGGAGGTTTTTTTGGGGGGGAAAATCACATTGTTGGCTGCCCGAAGGTTCAACAACCCTCTTACCTTCCTCCCCCCCCCGAGACCCCCCCCCCCCCCCCCCCTTGGTTTTTTTTGGGCTGCCCGAAAGTTTTGTTTTGCCTGCCTGCCAGAGCGTCAAAACCACCGTCAAACTCTCGGAGGGTTCCGTCTAGCGTAAAAAACGGACCGTCAAAAACATTCCGTAAAAAACGTTAGCTCCGTCAATTCCAACTAAGAGAAGAGGGGCAGCAAGAAAGCCCCAAGGCGTTGGGGTGCGAGCCATCGTCCTGCAGGTGAATGGTCTCGATCTCCATGCACAGCTGGACATTAAGGAGGGCGGGGAAAGGGGGGGAAGAAGGGTTTTTTATGGAAGAAAGGAGGGGTGACACGAGAGCCCCAAGGCGTTAGGTGGGGAGCCGTCGTCCTGCAGGTGAATGGTCTCTATCTCCATGCGCAGCTGGGGAGAAGGGGTGGGGGGAGGGAGGAGGTGGGGTTGGGAAAGAGATGGTGAGGTGGGCGGGTGGTGTTGCTGATGCTGATGCTGATGCTCATGCTCATGCTATGCTGATGCTGATGCTAATGCTATGCTGACGCTGATGCTGATGCTGATGCTGATGCTGATGCTATGCTGATGCTGATGCTGATGCTGATGCTGATGCTAATGCTATGCTGATGCTGATGCTGATGCTGATGCTGATGCTGATGCTAATGCTAATGCTATGCTGACGCTGATGCTGATGCTGATGCTATGCTGATGCTGATGCTGATGCTGATGCTGATGCTGATGCTAATGCTATGCTGATGCTGATGCTGATGCTGATGCTGATGCTGGTGCTGGTGCTGATGCTGATGCTGATACTGATGCTGATGCTAATGCTATGCTGATGCTGATGCTGATGCTAATGCTATGCTGATGCTTATGCTGATGCTATGCTGATGCTAATGCTATGCTGATGCTGATGCTGATGCTGTGCTATGCTGATGCTGATGCTAATGCTAATGCTATGCTGATGCTGATGCTGATGCTAATGCTAATGCTAATGCTAATGCTATTCTGATGTTGATGCTGACGCTGACGCTGACGCTGATGTTGATGTTGATGCTGATGCTGATGCTAATTCTATGCTGATGCTGATGCTGATTCTAATGCTATGCTAATGCTATGCTAATGCTGATGCTCATGCTGATGCTGATGCTCATGCTGATGCTTATGCTATGCTGATGCTGATGCTGATGCTAATGCTATGCTGATGCTGATGCTGACGCTGACGCTGATGCTGATGCTGATGCTAATGCTATGCTGATGCTGATGCTGATCCTGATGCTGATGCTGATGCTATGCTGATGCTGATGCTGATGCTGATGCTGATGCTATGCTGATGCTGATGCTGATGCTGATGCTGATGCTGTTGCTGTTGCTGTAGCTGTTGCTGTTGCTGTTGCTGATGCTGATGCTGATGCTGTTGCTGATGCTGATGCTGATGCTGTTGCTGTTGCTGTAGCTGTTGCTGATGCTCATGCTCATGCTCATGCTCATGCTCATGCTCATGCTCATGCTCATGCTCACGCTCATGGTGATGGTGATGGTGATGGTGAAGGTGATAGTCATGCGGGCACGCACCTTGCTGAAGAAGGGGATGGTGATGATGGTGCGGAAGTGGGGGTAGTTGATCCAGCTCTTCTCATCCACCACCAGAGCCGATGGCGGCACCAGCCGATTCACCTGCATGCATGCATGCGCACACGGCACGTGCATGCGACCCAGGTGAATGCAATGCAGGAAAAGGACACATGGACAGAACGAAGCCTTCGAATTCAAGAGGCCTACACACAATGAAACACGATTCAATCGTTATGCACCAGATGCGCATGCAGAGCAAAGAATTCAGCCAGCAAGTTAAGTATCCAGAAGGAATAAGACGAGTACCCAGTGAACAAGGCGGGGTACTCGTTTTCCCTTCTGGTACTCGTTTTCCCTTCTGGTACTCAGTCCAAGCGAGGTGATATTTCAGGTGGCAATTCGCGGCACCCACCCAGTCGGGGAGGCGGTTGCCGAGGCGGAAGAGGCTGTGCGTGAAGAGACCCTCCCCGTGCTGCTCGTGGTAGTAGGGCGTTGATGATAGCAGCTGCGGGGGCACAGGGGGGAGGTGGGGGGGAGGTGGGGAGAGACAGGGGAGAGATGGGAGAGAGGGTGCGTGAGGAGGCCTCCCCCTGCTGCTCGTGGTAGTAGGGCGTTGATGATAGCAGCTGGGGGGAAGAACCGTGGATGAGGTTGGCAGGCGGGCGGGCAGGTGGTGGGAGGAGGAGGAAGAGAGATGGGGGAGAGAGAGGGGAGATGTGGGGGAGACACGAGCTACAGTGGGAATACGAGGTGCCTCAGACCTCACAGCGAGGGAGGCGAGCAGGAGGAACAGAGAAGTAGGAGAGGGGCAGAGGAGGAGGGGAGGAAGGGGAGGAAGGAGAGGGAGGGGGGCGACTGACAGTGCCGCCCTGGCCGGGCTCCGTGGCATCCTCGTTGGTGCGCCAGTTGGCGTACCGCTGCCCGCGCTTGAACTCCTCCACTGCGCCCCCCCGCGCACCCCCGCGCCCCACCCCCCCCGTGCGCGTGCCCCGTGGCGTCCCGTTCCGCCCCGTGCCATGCCATGCCATGTCGTGCCATGCCATGCCATGCAATACCATGCCATGCAATACCATGCCATGCCATGCAATGCCATGTCATGCAATGCCATGTCATGCCAGGAACGAGCAAGGAGAAGGTATCGAAATAATCAGGGGGGGGGCGAGAACCAGCGGAAGGGCAAGGGAGTTGGGGACATGGAGGAAGGGTGGCGAGGCGGGAAAACAACCAGCTGCTTATTCAGTCAACTCCTAGACGCGCTTCCGCGCATATCGTGTTCCGCATATCCACGCGGCCTCCACATTTTCCCCGCCGACCCACCCCCGGCCCTTGACACGCACATGTGAAAGGCAGCACGATCCGCAGCTCCGTTAGATGCCCCATTGACACGTGGCAACGCTGTATTGGGCTCGCGACAGTATGAAGGATAGCGCAAGTTGCGGCTGGGGAGGACAGAGGAGCAGATTTGTGCCCGCGGGTTTACTACTACTGTAAACCGTGGAGCCCAAATCGCCTAGTTTTCGCTCTCAGTAAACTGCGCCAGGACGTGCGTGATATCACGCAGTTTCAGGGTCGGCGAGAGGGGAGACTGTGCTGTGGGTCGATTCCCTGAGCATGTACGGAAAGCGGCAAGTCAGACGGGGGAGAGTGCAGTAGACGAAGTAATGTGAGTAGCCCCTAACAGGGCTCTTCTGGGTTGGGATTGGTTTGGGAGACTATCTGGTTGAGGTGGCGGAACGCGAGATTATCACAAATGCGGGCGAACCGCCTGTACCGTTTTCGCGCAACCCCAGAAAGTTCCGCGCAGCTGTACGGATGACCTGGAAATTGGGTTCGCGGAGAAGGAATTCTTGGACGCGGAAGGAATGCGGGGAAGCAGAAGCGGGTGCTGTGCTGTAGACTCCAGCAGTTAGGCGCACGAGGGGGAACAAGGTTGAGCGGGGTGATGGGGGGGTGCACACGCGGGTTTGGATTGGTCCAATAAGGTGACTGATGGAGTTTCTCTGGCGAGAAACCTGCCACGTGGAAGTCGCGGTAGTCTCCACGTTTAGCTAACCTCCAGTGTTGTAACAGGTTCCAACGCCAGACTTGCCTTTTAGAACCTTAAGATGCGTTATCATTTCTGGAAGAGGTTGCCTTAGTGATTTTACCAAAACCTTGCTCTTCTCAGTTTGCTTCCTCTCATTGGTATATTGAGCAAAGACATGCTTCATTCAAGATGGAGGTTACTGGGGCAAGTAGGGTCTTAATAGTCTGCACACAGTCCTGCCTATCCCCATCCCCTGACCCAGATTACCCTAGAGGTACAGTTGACATTCTATGCATGGCCCTTTCATCTGGTCCTGCAGGGGATCACATGTCTATTGCAGTTGTGCATAGCACTTGTTCTTCTTGATCATCCCGTGCACCTTCCTCACCAGCCCCTTATAGCTGGTTACCACCTTCATCTTCACTCCAGACAGCCGAGGGTAAAGCCAATCGTAAGCCCCGATTTCCAACTCATGCCCCTCACGAAAATAGACGATATGGCTGCCGCCAAAGTAGCTCTGGGTTGTGCAGCCCCCTCCCTGCACACTCACAAAACACGCACTCCGCGCCAGCATCCTGAACTGCACATCATTGAAACTCAATCCTGGCCACTGCTTCTGGAGGTTCTGCATGATCTGGGACCGTGGATTCTTCTCAAACCGCTTCTGCAGCGCCTCATAATCTCCCAATTCCTTTTCATCACGAATCACCTGCCAGGCGTCAAGCTCCAGCGACATCCCCGGATTGTTGTACACGACATAGAAACCAGCCTTTAAAAACGAGTCGACGATTCTCAGTAGAGTTGGTACTTCGATAAAATTTACCGGTGCGTGTCTGGATTCCCACTCGTATTTATTTCCGATAACCACCAATTGGGACCTCCCGGAAATCTCTGGCCACACAGAGGAAATCTTCCTGAAGTGGCTGGCAAGAGGAGGCGGCTGCCAGGCTGGCGGGGGGTGACCTCCCAAAAAGTCATGCATCGCATCTTTGAAATCCTTGTTGGCTCGCTGACACGTGGCATTGTCTGTGTGGTTGGGGCTGAAGTAGTAGAGCGAAGACAAGGAATCCCGCCCGCAGGAGGTGGTGGAGCGGAGGGAGCCGTTCAAATGGTGCCAGTAGGCGACTGGGAGGACGGTCATTAACTCGTACCCAAACTCCACTGTACAGGAGATGTCCACCCCACCCTGACCACCATGGCTATGCTGACCTTCCTGGCCCTCTTGACCTTCCTGGCCATTTTGGGATTGGTAAAATGGCTGAGCGGGCTGTAGTTGAGTGGGGAGAATGAGGGGCTGGGCTGGATGGCTGGTGTTGGTGCGCCTGTGCTGCTCCGCTGCTTCTCCTGCTGCTGCTTCTGCCGTCACGACTGCTTTTTCCGCTGCGGCTTCCACTGCTGCGGCTGCTTCTGGCGCTGGGGTGGGGAGGAGAGGAGCGGGTACAGGGACGGTGGAGGGGAATGAGGGAGGGTGAGGTGTAGGGAAGGTTGAAATGGGCGGAGGGAAGGGACAGACGACGATCTATACCGTATAGACTCAATCTGTCTCGAATCCGTTCCCCAAAGCGCCGGAAAGATGCTTTGTGTGCAAAATCATGTGACGTTGAATCATGTATGCTGCGTGGTTATTCAAACACCCAATACGATCACCACCAATTTGAAACGCAAAAGGCATCAGCCAAAACTGCCAGTTCAGCCATTCAGTCCATCTAGTTAATCATGGTCCGAATGGCCGAAATAAGTCCCAGGAGCCTGAACTCCCGGCGGAGGAGGCGGGAAATGGAGAAAGCGGAAAGAAAGGAAGAAGCTACCACTCTTACTACCCACGTCGCGGAGACCCCGAAAGTGACGCATTTGTGACTTTCTGCTTGGGACTTTTTTGTGTGTTTTAATTGTAGAAAAACCGTCGGCCTCCAAAACCTGCACATGCCTTTTCCGCGATGCAATAATACAGTTCTCGCAGTTAGAACAACGATGGCGGCCAGCATCAGCCACCAGAGCAATCGCTTCGCGCCTGCGCGGACGAAGCCGCGGCTATTCGAGGCTACTAGCCCCGTCAGCCGCCAGAAAATGATTCTTCCCTCGGCACCCTCGTCGCTCTCCGCTCCGAAGAGCGCCTTTTCTGACTTGAGCTTTATTTGCGGCTTGTGACAATCATGATGTTGCCGGGAAGCCATCAGAAGGGCTAGCGGAAAGACGATGGTGATCCCAGGGGGGAGGGGGCCGGGGAGCGGCATCAACGGAATGCTGCACTAAGATCCCGCACTGAAGATCCCGCACTAAAGATCCCCGTCAACAGTCTCCGAGGACAACCATTCTTACCGTGAGGCGAAAGAGGGACGGAGAAGTGGTTAGTGGGTGTGGGAGTGCATCCGACTTGACGCACTCTCGCTTGAAGCCAGACGAGAACGGAGTTCACTGGAAACCGATGTAGGATTCTGAAAGCTCGACGAAATCACAGTCAGCCTAAAAGCTGCCGCGCAAGTTGATGTGCTGCCACGCAAGATGTATTTCGAAGGGCCGGGTACCAGGGCTGTAGAAGCAAGGGCATTTTTCCTTAATGCCCTGAACATTCCGGCCTACGTTTCGAGCAGCTCGACCATATAAAGTGTTAGATAGGCATGGCACCCGTGACAGTTAAGGGCCTCGTTTGGGCCTTCCCCTGAATCAAAGTTTGGTTTCTGTTTTGAAGGACCCCCCCCACCCGAATTCCGGCCGCCATCCCCTCCCCCCCCAACCCCACTCCCCGATATTTTTGCCAACGGTGTTTTTGCGGACGATGTAGAGGCTGTAGGCGTGCAGATGAGTAGTTTGTGTGTACCTTTTCCGGCTAAGTAAGAGGTGAAAATCTCCTGTGTTACATTTGGGCCAAAGTACACTTTCCTAAGAAGCCCTGAATTCTAGTTTTGAATTTATCCTACGCCCGTGAAAATCAGGGAAAGAACTCGAACAGCTCACGACTCAAAGTTTTGGTCCCAGGGACTTCGACAGGCCTGCCGGGTACACTGTTGTTCAAGAGCTGTTCAAGATGGAAATGACGAACAATGCGTTCAAACTAGCTTGAACGGGGCTCAAACGAGGTTGGTGAAGAATTTCTGGTCAAAAGAAACATTTTGGAACATGTTACAAAAGCGAATGGACAAGACTCGTCCAAGAACCAATTTCTGTCGAGGTAACGAACCTGCCTACAACACTGCGAAAGCAGTGGAAGTTGTGACTCCCGTAACAGCTTCGCTATCTTCTCACTCACGGGCAAGAGCTACTTGGTGCGCGAAAATCAGTTTCGTCAATTATGTTGACCAGCGATGCGCTACAGAATTTTTTTGCCGACGAACGAGTTGTCAAAAACAGCAGTCGTGTGGTAGTCAGCTGGCTGGTCAAGAGGCGCAACCTTCTTGACCAGCCTAGGTACAACTTTATCGTAGTAAACACAGTAACCCGAAATTTGTGTATCGTTTGGAGGTAGGACACTGGGCAGCAGGAATCACGAGGATCAGCGGAAGGGGGAATGCGTGGGGGGGAATGGGGGGGTTGGTGGGGAATGGGGCAGACTCTCTGCCGCAACAAAAGTGCACCAGCGAGCGGAGCGGATCCGCGCGGACAGAACAAGTGTCAAGCAAGATGCTTCATTCAAATTTGCTTTCAAGCGAAATGCGGCGAGGAAAGTTGCTGCGAACGGCCTATGTCCTGATATCCACCGCGTACACTTGAGCTGACTTTCTGTTAAATGGTTTTGATGTTTTAATGGAAAACATTGCTCATTTGATTGGCTTGGCAGCCTCATTGCTAAATTGCACATGCAGAGACTTTATTTGTCGTGACGTAAGTTACAATTACAACTAGGGGTTTGGTAGTAGTCTGCATCCAGTACCTAGTCTTGCTTATTCCTAACCCCTAACCCAGTTTTCCCTCAAGTTACTGCTGAAATCCTTAAAAAGAGTCCCTTCCTTCTGGTCCCACAAGACGATACATACTAGTGAAGTTTCGCATGGCACTTGTTCTTCTTGATCATCCCATCCACCTTCTTCACCAGCCCTTCATAACTGGTTGCCACCTTCACCTTAGCTCCAGACAGCTGCGGGTAAATCCTCTCATACGACCCACCTTTCACCTCCTGCCCCTCACGGAAATAGATGATATTCTTTCCACCAAAGAAGCTCTCCACAATGCTGCCCCCTCCCTGCACGCTCACGAAACACACACTCCTTGCCAGCATCCTAAACTGCACGTCGTTGAACCCCAAGTCTGGCCACCGCTTTTGGAGATTTTGCATGATCTGAAGCCGAGGATTCTCCCCAAATCGCTCCTGTAACGCCTCATAGTCCCCCAAATCTGTGCCATCCTTAATAACCTGCCGGTGGTCTGACTCCAGTGACATCCCTGGATTGTTGTACACCACATAAAATCCCGCCTCTAAATACGCGCCAACAATTCGCAATAAAGTTGATAAATCGATGAAATTTACCGGTGAATGGCCCCACTCCCGCTCGTATTTATTCCCAATCACCACCAATCGGGATTCCTTGGGAATCTCCGGCCATACAGAGGGGAACTTTCTGTAGTGCTGGGCAAGAGGGGGTGGCTGCCAGGTTGGCGGGATGCGACTATAATGAATGCCGCCAGGAAACCCGTATGCAGCGACATTGTCCTTCATGTTACTCCGATGACACGTGGCGTCATCTGTGTGGTTGGGGCTGAAGTAGTAGATCGAGGCCAAGGAATGCCGCCCGCAGGAGGTGGTGGAGCGGAGGGAACCGTTCAAGTGGTGCCAGTAGGCGAATGGGAGGACGGCGATTAGCTCGTATCCAAACTCGCCCTGGAAGAAAATGTCTACGCCTTGGGATTGGATAGAAGGTTGCTCCAGCTCTGGTTGACTGGAGGGGATGAGGGGCTGTGGTGGATGAATGGCGTTAGCTTTTGTGAGAGGCTCCGACCTTTCTCCTGCTGACGATTCTGCTGTTTCAACTGCGCTTGCGTTTGAAGTTTCCTCTGCTGCGTCTGCTTCTGGCGTTGCTGCTGCTTCATTATCTGCTTCTGTTTTCTTCACTGCTTCTGATTCTTCAGCTGCTGCTCCTTCTGCTGATGTGGTCGCTGCTGTCTCTTCTAATGAGTCTGTCTCATTCCCTTCAACCATCACCTGTTCTTCAGCCGACACCCCTTCATTCACATCCCCGCTTCCGCCCTCCATGCTCGTGTGGCTCACACGTTCTTTCACGAACGATTTATTCTCCGTCTCTCCTCCTCCTTTCTCCCCGTCCTCGTTAGAATCAGCATCACTATCTCTCCCTTTCCACCCCGCCGCTACCCCATCTCCCAACCCCACCCGCTCTGCTCCCTCCCCCTCCACCTCTTCGCTCCCGCCGACCAAGTTCCCCGTCGCTTCCGTGGAGGTCCGTACCACCACGCTATTCAAACCCAGCCCCGCCCGTACTTCTGCTCTTTCTCCGCGCCGATCCCCCATATGGCAGCCCCAAATGCGCCAGGGGGCGACGGCGACGCTTCCGCCGTCCCCTGATGCTGTGCGGCGGAGGAGGAACTGGCGAAACGGGACTGTGTCGAACCCTTTCCCTGAGAGAAAGGTGGGGAACACGCGCCAACGACGATCGAAAAATGTGAGAACGTTTTTGGGGGAAGCGAGAGGGATGAAGCAGCAGCAGAGAGGGTTCGGGAAAGACAGAAGGGTAGAGATTTCTCTTTATTAATGCCCCTAGTTTTCACTCCGAGATTTGTGCACGCTTAAAGCGTAATCGCGCGAAGTGTAATTGCGCGAGATCAGGGGCGGGAAAGGCACGGAAATTAGCTCGGATCAGCTCGCACGCAGGCTAGGCACGGGAACGAATCAGCTCGCACTCACAGGCAGGGTGGGCTGTGTCAAGCGGTGGATCAACCGTGCAGCCAAGAGACGGGCCTGGAAGCGGGTGCGTGCACACAAAAGGGGAGTAATACCGGGAAAAGGGCGAAAGGGAAAAGGCGAAAAGGAACATGGAGAATGAGGCGAATGGGCAGGGGAAGAGAGACAGGAGGAACTTCAAGTTTTTGACACTGTACGCTGCAAGGAATGCTTACGATGCTAGTGCCACCTCAGAGAATTCTCAGCAGTGATGCCACTGATGCAGACATACATGCTGTGGTGTGTTACGGCACGTAAGGAGAATTAGATGGCGAAGTGGCTGAGCTACAGGCGAGTAAACTAGAGTTACGGCGGAGGAAGCGGACGGCAGAAAAGGGAGGGCAGGGAGGGAAAAGGTACGTGCTCTTTTACCCGAGAAAAATATTCTAGCAGTCAGTGATGCAGCGACGACGGCCAGCATCAGCCACCATAGGAACCTTTTCGCGCCTCCGCGGGCAAAGCTCTTCGAGGCTAGCACGGTGAACCAGAATGGCTTTTCCGTGGGCGGCAAAATCGCATGATCGCAGCAATCGGCATTTTCGAGACCACGCGAACAGGCATCTTCCTCGTCGGAGCACAAGATGCCGCTTTTGCAACAGGCGATGCCTGTATGGTTACATCCTATACCGCTTCGCTCGCCGTTTACTGGCATTCCGTGCTCGACAGCAGCGTCCCAGGAGCGCTTGGAACAGCGCGGACCATGGTTTACCGTACGATCCATGGTAGGAATAAGAAATGCTCTGAAAGAGAATGAAAAAAAAAAAAATGTGTTGTAATGCGGTCGAGTGCAGCGTTTCACAGCTGCTGTCCGCGCAAGAAGAGAGTACAAGGTCAGGTGTTTCATACGAGGGAGCTCTATTTCTGAGAGCCAAGAATTGGGTGGTTGACTACAATATATTACACTTGGTAGCGTCGGTAGCGCTCGGTAGCGCTACCGTTTCGCTAGACGACGCTACCGAGTGAGTCAGCATGCTGACCGCGGGTAAAAAAAACTAAAACCCATTCGGACTCCATGCCGTTCGGGAGCCTCAACCCTAAAATTTTAGGGTTGATGCCTCCCGAATGGCATGCCTTCCGAGTGGGTTTTATTTTTTTCCTTGCCCGCTGACTCATTGCACTGCGTGCTGACGCACGCAGTGCAATATATCTCCCAATTGATTTCATTAAGACCGAGCCGAGATCATTGAGGGCGCGTGGGAAGTGACGAAGTGACTGTGACAGATTTAGACGAGTCGCGACGGCGGCAGCGGCAATGTGGTTTGGGAAGGCGAAGGGGCCGGGGTTGACAGATTCGTTATGCGATTGGAGGAATTTTGCTGCATTTGGGAACAGCTGGTTCGGTACCTTGGCCGAACCTCTCAGCCATTCCGGTTTGATCATACAAACCCCTTGATACGGCCCCGCTGTATCATCTGGCTGTAAACACGAGGGGAATGCGGAAGGCTGACTTCCAAGTTTTTGTAGACTTCAAATTGGGCAAATTGGGCAGAAACTCTACAAAGCGCAATGTTGTACATGTGTATCGAACAACGAAAAATTGAACTGTACCCCTCTGCCCTTTTGTATCAGAAAAGTACCCCAACCATTTCACTCGAGCCAAAATTGGTAAGGGTGCACAGTTCTCCAGCAAGCGCAGTTGGGCACGAAGCAGCGGCTCGTTGAGCCTTGTGGCCCAAATTTGCCCAGCTAGCTCAATTGCCAGCAGTCCTTGATGTTTGACCAACGTGACCCCGAAGCGTGATGGAATGTACGCGATTCGCTGCGTGTCTGGTCGTATAGGCTCGGCTCTTGCGACCTTTTGCGATCACAGCGATCTTTGACGATCCTTGAGTGTGATACGTGATCATGTCAGCCCCCCTGAGAGACTAGATTTACAGGCAGTTTTCCATCCCAGGACCTGAACAAATCACTCTACACTAATACACCCCTATATTAAACCGCCCTATACATTTATACACCCCTAAGCTTTCCAGTAACTATACTAGTTACCAATTGCATCAACTACAAACTCTTTCATTACATTTTCAAACCATCGCTATGCAGCAGCTGGTGCCATGGACACTAGCCAAGTATAATCCCTACGCGGTAGTCCTCCATATGTTTTATGCCACATCAGTCAATAGCCTTGGTGGACTTTTACATAGCAGTTGTTCTTCTTCATCATCCCATCCACCTCCCTCTCCAGCCCCGTATACCTGGTCACCACCGTCACCTCAGCGCCAGACAACTGGGGGTAAATCCTCTCATACACCCTTGTTGAATTATATATCTTATACCTGTCTACAGCTTGCTAGTGTATTTGTTAGCTATTAGAATCAACCGTTGGTGGTGCACCCTATCCATTTGCTCTTGCCTACTTGTACTTCCAATTCTATAGTGAACCTCCTCTTCTTTGCCAAAACCTCTCGATGCCATCTCCTAGCTTCAAGCCTTCCTCCTAAGCTTATGCCTCCTAAATAGTTACTTTGACATGGTATTAAGAGCTGGGTCCTTCTAAGGACCTCCCTATTATTTTTCATTCGCCATGGCTGCTGCCATGGCGACCATCGCAGCGCCCTTCGAGGCGCTCGTCCGTTGCCTGCCCCGCGCTGCTCGCACCGCGCTACCCGCCCCAGGCGCTCGTCGCCCAGTCCCGCGCGCTGACGCGTCGCCCCGCCACTGGTCGCGGACGCCAGCGCCAGCGCCTCCAACCGTCGCGGACGCCTGCGCGATCGCCAGCGCCGTGCGCCAGCGCCAGCGCCAGCGCCTGCGCCGGTCACCTGCGCCAGCGCCAGCGACATGCGCCAGCCCCGGACGCGAGCGCCAGCGCCAGCAGCGGCCGTCAGCACCCCCGCCATCGCCACCCCGCTCCCCGCTTCCGCACCTGCCGCCTCTCTTTTCTACGGTGGACATTGCGGGGGGGAGGTGGCGGGGCTCGCGCCCGCGGCTACGGGGGTGCTTAAGCCCCCTTGAACCCTCCCGCCCCTCCCTACTACTCCTCCTCATCGCTGCCCGTGCATCTCCAGTGCGTGCCGCGTTTGGGGGGGGGGGGGAAGAGGGTGTGGGGGTGGCGGGTATTTGAAGGCAGCCGCCTCCCCTTCTCCTCCTCCTTCCGCTGCACTTCCTATCCTCCTCCTCTCTCCTCTCCTCTCCTCTCTCCTCTCCTCCAGCCGCCTCCTCCTCCGCTTGTTTGCTCCTCCAGCCGATTCTTATCGACTCTCCACCTGTGCGCCACCAACTTCCTCCTCCTATCCAACGGTTGGTGTTAATCACCAGCATCCTACGCCCTCCGGTTATCCCAGCCCTCCTCCGCGCCCTCCGCGCCCTCCTCCGTTCTGGCGTTCACAGGTGCTGCCGGTCAGCCACCGCTGTTTCTGTGCCTATCCCAGCTACAGCAACCGCTCTCCAGGCGACCTGGTGTCAGACACCACTAGTTAAAGCCGTAGACAGTTACGGGGGTGTGTTGAATTATATATCTTATACCTGTCTACAGCTTGCTAGTGTATTTGTTAGCTATTAGAATCAACCGTTGGTGGTGCACCCTATCCATTTGCTCTTGCCTACTTGTACTTCCAATTCTATAGTGAACCTCCTCTTCTTTGCCAAAACCTCTCGATGCCATCTCCTAGCTTCAAGCCTTCCTCCTAAGCTTATGCCTCCTAAATAGTTACTTTGACAACCCTGCCCTTCACCTCTTGGCCTTCACGAAAGTAGATGATATTCCGGCCACCAAAGAAGCTCCCCACTATGCTGCCTTCTCCCCGTACACTCACGAAACACGCGCTCCGCGCCAGCATTCTGAACTGCACTTCATTGAAGCTCAATTCTGGCCATCTCTTCTGAAGGTCCTGCATGGTCTGCAACCGTGAGTTATTCCCAAACCGCTCCCGCAGCGCCTCGTAGTCTCCCAAGTATTTTCCATCCCGAATGGCCCGTTGGGAGTCTGGCTGCAGTGACCCCGGGTTATTGTACACCACATAAAATCCCGCCTCTAAATATGCATCAACAATTCCCAGTAGAGTCAGTAAATCAATGAAATTTACCGGAGAATGGCCCCATTCCCGCTCGTATTTATTCCCAATCACCACCAATCGGGATCCCTTGGGAATCTCCGGCCATACAGGGGGCAGCTTCCTGAAGTGTTGGGCAAGAGGAGGCGGCTGCCAGGCTGGCGGGATGCGACTATAATGTATGCCATGAGTAAAACCGTATGCAGCGACATTGTTCTTCATGGCACTTCGATGACATGTGGCGTCGTCTGTGTGGTTGGGGCTGAAGAAATAGATTGAGGCCAAGGAAAGCTGCCCGCACGAGGTGGTGGAGCGTAGGGAGCCGCGGAGATGGTGCCAGTAGGCGACTGGGAGGACGGCGATTAACTCGTACCCGAACTCGCCTTGAAAGAAGATGTCCACACCATCCGTCCCTTTCGTGCCATCCTGGGATTGAGAAGCTGGTTGTGGTTGAGTGGGGCGGTTGAGGGGTTGTGGGGGATGGTTTGCGTGGCTCTGACGCTCTGCTGCTTCTCCTGCTACTGTATCTGCTGTCTCTACTGCTTCTGCAGTTGTGGATTCTACTGCTGCGGCTGTTGCGATCGCAATTGCTGCTGCATCACCTACTCTCCTTTTCCCCTCCTCTGCTACCCCGTCCGCCAGCTCCCCCCGCTCTCCTCCCCCCCTCTCCACCCCTCCGCTTCCCCCGGCCCAGCTCCTCCCATCTCCACCACTCCGCTTCCGTACCACCACTGTATCGAAATACAGCCTCGTCCTTATTAGTTGCGCATTTTCTCCCGGCAGTTCCCCCGCATGGCATCCCCAAATGCGCCAACGCGCGGCACTGGTGCTTCCGCCGTAGCCCAACACACTGCGGCGGAGGGGGGCTTGGCGCTGCGGGAGTGTGTCAGCCGCGTAGGCGGGAGTATGGACCACTGACTCCGTCCCTGAAGGGTGCGGCACGTGGGGAAGATGCGGGGATGGCGATTGGGATGGTGAGGAAGCGAAGGGCGGCGAAGGGATATTTTCGGGACACCAACCATTTGATTTAGAAGCTGCAGCGAAGAGAAATGGGGAATAGAAAACGCGTAGAGACATCAGGAGGAGCAACAGCGGAGAGGAATGGGGGGAAGCAACAGCGGAGAAGAATGGGGGGAAGCAACAGCGGAGAGGAATGGGGGGAAGCAAGAGCGGAGAGAGATCGAGGAAGCAAACCAATGGAGGTTTGTGTTCCGAGATACGTTCTCCGGAATTCGAGATTCGTAATCCGAGATTCGTGGTCCTGGATCCGTGCTCCGAGATTAGTGCCTGTGCGAGCGCGAGTCACAGTTTCAGAGCAAGCGGTAGCATGAGGGCCTGGCGTGGAAGCAGTGAATCTCATTGTCGAAATGCATCACCGCGCACTCACACGCGGGCTGCGCGACGTCGACCGGCGGCGGTTCACCATTGCAGGTCAGCGGCGGCGGGCCTGGCGCGGGTGGATGCGAACAGGGGGCGAGGGCGGGGAGGACAGAGGGGCGGAGAGGGGGTGGGAGGAGACTTGAAAGGGTGGGGGGAAGATATGTACCTAGAAGTTTGGATGAGGAGAGGCAAGGAATACGAAGACTGGATTTCATGTTCTGACAGCGGGATGAAGTCCCGATGCACGGAGATTGTTCCGACACCCTTTCAGGAACGGAATGGAATGAAGGCGGCGGCGAGAGAAGACGGAGAAGAGGAAGGCGTTACTATGTACCCGAGAAGAATATTATAGCAAATAGAGAAGCAGCGACGACTACCAGCGTCAGCCACCAGAGCAGCCGCTTCGCGCCTCCGCGTGGCACGAGTTCCGGCTCGACATTAGCATCCCAGCAGCGCTTGGAGCAGCGCGGACCATAATTGGCCGTCCGATACATGCTAGGACTAGGAAATTTTAGTATCAGTCACACGGACGATATGGAAAATGCAAAATGAAGCTTTGCGTCACGCAACGGTTGCGCTTCGTTGGAGCACAGCATTTCAGAAGAGTTGCCCGCACGAGGAGAGATGAGATCATGAGAGTCGAAGAGAGGTGTTTTGTATGTAGGAGGGACGGCAAGTTCTGACAATTCAGGCGAGGGCGTGGAGACTGGGCGACGCGAAAACCTCTGACATCACAGCAGCATTCATAAGCACATATCACCGTGCGTCACCGAAGAAAATCCCTTTGCACCAGTTGATCTGCAGCCAACCTGACCAGGCCACAGCTCATGCAGTTCGCGATTCGCGATGGCATGTCTGATGCGATGTCCTTGCGACATCTTGCGATCACTGCGTTTTTCTACGACCGTTGCTTGTGAAGACCAAGTGACTCTACTCAACCCTCAAGGCCCGTTGATTTGCGATACTCGTCGCCAAAGAAGAGAACTGTAGTAGTTGGACAAACCACACTACACTTCGTGCAATAAAATTCTTATCTCTCCTTCTTAGTAATGCTGAGCAAACCACAAATGACAAATGGACTGTACTTGGGCAGTACTGAATATGACACGAAAAAACGTCAAATTAAGCAATAATACGATACAATACATAAACAATAATACGTAGCAGCTGGTGTCGAGGACCTGCAATCCTCCTCCAAATTCCGTCCACAGAGGGTATTCTGTAGCCTTGTTACCAGCAAAGAGGCTCGAAAATGGGCCAGTTTGCTGGAAACAAGCGAAGAGGCGGAGGATGGAAGGTCCACGCACAGCCTGCCTGCACCAAACAGAGACAAACCTAAAAGAAAGAAATGGAAAAGCAAAGAAACATCCAAGCAGCATATGGTGTGCTTGGGCACAACTGGCACACCCTTGTCTTCGTGAGCGCAAGCAGACATCTTGCTTGCAACGCCACCAGACATGCACTGCCACCGTAGCGCTCGCTGCCACAATTGCATGTATGTCATGTGGCGTGTGACGTGGCAATGCGGCAAGTCAGTCACACGCGGTTGTTCCCTGGCGAGACGGCGGAGTGGCCGATGAAGGTGACCAGATGGGCCATCAGCTTGTCCTTGTGGCTGCATGGGGGGAAAGTCAAAGGACAGGCACAGGGGAAGGCGAGGGAAAGAAAGGAAGACAGGATCATTTAAGGGAAGGGGGAGTGAGGTAAGAAAGCCTGAGGACACATCCGAGTGATGAGCGAACAGTTGGAGCAAACAGATGGCAGCAGTCCATGACACGAAGGCGTGAATCTACAAGCATCTACCCTGTGAGGAGGCTTCAAAGCGCTCACCTGAAACGCGACCCGCAGGAGCAGGTCCAGCTGGTGAGCCCGCAGTGCTTCTCATGCGTGCGTAGATCTGCCAGCACCGCAAACCGCTTGGCGCCGCCACAGCGCGAGCACGCAAGCAGCTTGGGGCAGTGCGAGCGGCGGTAGTGGTTGCGCACACACAGCACCGTCTTGAGCGGCTGGAAGGCCGCGTGCTCCCGGTGCCGCTTGCACCCCGCCACAGGGCAGCTGAAGCGGCATTGCGCTGGATCCACGGAGGGGGACAGGGAGGAGGAGAAGGGAGGAGACGCTGCTGCTGGGTGCATGGGGGCCATGCGGCTGTGTCCCTTGATGTGCATGCGCAGGTTGGCCTCGCGCTTAAAGCCCTTGCCGCAGGCGTCACAGAAGTGCATCTGGTCGTTGGTCAGCTCTGCCACCCGCAGTTCCACTATCATCCACTCCCCCATGCGCACGCCTTCCGCTCCCCACCCCGTCCCGCCACCACTGCTTGCTGCTGCCGCCTCCTCGTCGCTGTCGCTCGCAGTGGCTGTGACAGTGGCGGTGTCGCTTGCAGTGGCAGTGGCAGTGGTGTCTGCCGACCCTGCTGCTGCCTTGGAGCCTGCATAGCCCTCTTCCATGGACTCTCCACCTGATGCTGCTCCTGGCGCTGCCTCTGATGCTGTGCCAGATGCTGACCGTGACGCTGTTGCAAACACAACAGCCGGAGCTGCTTCTTTTCCGAAGGCATCAACTGCCTGGCTCTCCTCCAGCTTTGCTTGCTTCGGCGGCCCCTCCCCCATTGCTGCCTCCACTTCACAATCGAGATCCCTCCCTCTCTTGCTTCCTCCCGCTCTGTTCTGCTCTCCCTCCTTGACCGCCTCAGAGTCGTCTCCCTCCGTGCTGGCGCCGGCCCCGGATGCTGCAGCAGAGTCAGGGGAAGCGGGTGCTGGGGAAGCGAGGGGAGGGGGGAAATGGGGAAGGAGAGGGGCGGCAGCAGGAACCGCAAGAGGGTTAGCAGGCGCAAGCGGAGCAGGCGGAGGCGCGGCTGAAGGGGGAGAGGCGCCGGGTGCGAATGTGGGAAGCGACACTTCGCAAGGAGGCGGAGGAGGGGGAGAGGGAGCGGCTGGGTAGTGCTTCTGCTCTTGTGGCTCGTGTTCCTGCTGCTGCTGCTCCTGCTGCTGCTCCTGCTGCTGCTGCTCCTGCAGCTGTAGCGCTTGCGCCAGAGCCATCATCATCGCCTCCTGCTGGCCTCTCTCCCGCTGCGCCTCGTCCAGCTGTTTCTCCGCCGATCGGTGCTCCGCGCACTGCGGCGCCGCTTGCTCCTGCTCAGCCTGCCGCTCCGCCTGTTCCGCGCGCACCACCCCCGCGATGTCAGGAAGCAGAAGCTGCGCCTGCAGGCGCGGCGGAAGCAGCCCCACGGCGGCGAGCGCCACCTGCTGAATCACCGCCGCGACGCCCATTGCCGCCGCCTCCTGTTGCTCACGCACGGCGGGTTCGGGGCCGCTCTGCGCAACCAGCGGAATCAGCAGCTGTAGCGCCGCGATCTTGCCCTGGAGCGACCCCAATGCTGACATCAGCGATGCGGGGGACACGTTGGTGGCTGACGTGGCAGTGGGAGTGAACCATGCTGCTGGCACGCGGCCGCCACATTCCGTGGTTTGATTGCCCGTGCCGTGCGCGGCAGCAGCGCTAGGAGGCGGGCCCGTGAAGGAAGCTGATGGCGGAAGAGTCAGATGGGGAATAGCAGGCGCAACGTTAGCGGGCCCAAAAGATGCGCCAGCGGCGTAAGCGCTGGTTGCTGCGGATGGGGTTACTCCCCCGAGGCTTCGTTGGCTGGCGCAGCCGCCGCCGGCGGATGTGGCGGCGGAGGGGGAAGTAGTGAGGCAGGAGCCGTCGTTGCCTTGGCCGACTTGCCACTGTGGCTTCTCCTGAAGATTCTCCTGAACATTCTCCCGAGGCTGCAGGTTCAGATGCAGCGGATCCCATCCGTTCGTTACACATGTGGCAATGGTGGCGGTTTTGTTTGGGGAGACATCGGCGGAAGCGGAGATGTTCTTGCGCGCAATGGCTTGGATCAGCGGAGTGGGCGGAGCCTCCGCAGCGCCTTCCACGATCATTCCCTCCTCCCCCATGACGGCCCAACTGTCACCCCCCTTCTCCAAACCCCACTCCTCCTCGCTGCGCTTTCCGCCCGCCCATTCCCCCATGAAACCGCCGCCCCATTCGTTGTTTTCCGCGGGCCCTGTCGCTGCGCACGGAAGCGGCGCTTGGTGAAAGTTGAATCCGTCGACGTGTGGCGGGGAGACGGCCGCCCACACGGCGGCGGTGCCCGCGGCGCCGTCATTCTCGAGGTCCATCCGTCCGCGCCTTCTCGGACACGAAAAGCGGTGGGGGGAGCGAGTCGGGATGCTGCGGAGCGCACTGGCTCAACACGGTACCCGGCACACGGCGATTAGAAAACTGGGAGGCTTCACGCAGTGCCCCTTATGGACCCTATCAGCCTACGAACGGTCATGCTGCTCTCGAGCTACCGTTTTTCGTTCTTGTTGCCGATTCACAGAATGGCGTTCTAGGCTGATAGGATCTATTCTGAGTACATTCACGATTCACAAAAATGGCGGACTGGAAAGCGACAAGAAGTGAAAAGATGGCAGCGTTTTACACCTAGGTGAAACAGGGAACACACGCACTACGGACTGCTTTTGAGGCGTCTCGACAGCTGTAGGTACTACGGACTGCCTGCCAGCATCGTCAAGTGCTTGACGTACGGTCTGGTCGCGGAACCTGTAGGCAGGCCAAAAGCTGTTTTGTGTTTGTGTTGCTCGTCAACGGCAGGTACAGGACGCGATGAGAAAGAATTGTGTGGAAGATGAGCTGGTGGCTTCAATGCCATTGTGGGGGGAGCAAGTTGAGCGTAGAGTGGTGGATGGGTGGCGGGGCCGTGGAAGAGAAGCACAGGAGGGACGTGGGGGGGGAGAAGGGCGCGTGCGGGGGAAGTAGGGCCCGAGTGAGCCAGTGAAATGAAAGGGTGGATGGCCTATTATCGAAACCTGGAACGAGCATATCGTAGGGCTCTCTTCAGCTCTTGCTGCATCTTGCGGTGTCAGTTCGTCACACGAGACAGCTGTATGCTCATCCTCCGCACCAGACAACCCATCCCCGCCCCCGGCCGCACTCACGCGCAACTGTTCCGCAATTCCCAGGGTTGTTGGGGGGCGTCCTCGAATCAGATTGAAGACCAGGGTCACATGAACCTGATGTCCCCCCCCGGCTGCGGGAGGAAGCCGAGTCGCAGGGCTGAACTGACATGGTGTCCCAACGAGGCGCTGATGACGCGACAAGGGAAAACCGAAATCGTGTGCTACACGACATGGTTCTGTGGGGTCGGTGCCATTTGAGAGGCAGACATTGGGCGGATGCCGTGTGAATTTCTTGTAGAACACGACAAGATGCACAGCTGGTGGAACTCGAACCCGTTTTTGCTCGCCTTCTTTAGAAGCCTACAGCACAAACATTTTTGTATCCGGTTCTCCTAAGATGTGGAAAAATGATCAGCTCAATGAAACTGGTATGTGATCGTACCATATCTGCCATGCGAGCAGAGATTCCGCGATGTTCAGTTATCGAGGACTGGGCATTAGCGAAGCTGATGGGAGCTTTGGGAACTCCGATGGTTTAGACGTCTCTATTCCCCACACGCGCCTGGATAAGAAAATGACCTGATCGATTACTCCCTTAGTGACCGTTGGTTAGTGCTTCTTGTGCAATCGGACTCCGATGTTTCCTTGACTACGTAGCGTGTATCTGCATCATTTTCCTCGGATCCGTAACCGCGAATTCCTCAACCGTGCGTTTCGCGTCGTGCTTTGTATCCCCTAAGCGGGTCCGTTGATAGCGGGACGGGCGCGAGAGACAGGGAGGCCACAGGGGGTGCGACGCGGAAAGCAGCGCGCCGAATCGCGATGGGGAACGAGCACTCGCTGCTGACGCAGTATGACATTGAGGACGTGCAACAGCACGTGGGCGGCCGATGTGAGTATAGCGAGTTGCGTGAGTGCAGCGGGCGATGTGAGCACGGAAGGCGGAAACAATTTTTTTGACACGCAATTCCGCGTTTCCTCCACCGCGTCTCCCGCGTCTCCGGCTTCTCCCACATGGCACCATCCCTCTTCCCCAACAACTCCCCATCCCTCCTCCCTCATTCCCGTCCCTCTTCCCCCGCGCTCCCCCCGCGCCCCCCAGTCTCGCAGGAGAAGATAGCGGCGCTGCGCTGTACCGGCGGTTCTGTGCGCTGGTCCATTCCCCATCCCCAACCCCCACCCCCTTTTTTTCCTCTCCACTCCCTCCAGTCTCACAGGAGGAGATAGCGGCGCTGTACCGGCGGTTCTGTGCGCTGGACCGCAACGGCAAGGGGTACGTGAGCGGGGACGAGTTCCTCTCCATCCCCGAATTCGCCATCAACCCGCTCGCGCATGTGAGTCAACGCCAGTCAACGCTGGTCAACGCTAGTCAATGCTGGACCGCAACGGCAAGGGGTACGTGAGCGTCGACGAGTTCCTCTCCCCGAATTCGCCATCAACCCTCTTGCGCACGTGAGTCAACGCCAGTCAACGCCAGTCAAGTGTGTTGCGCGCTGAACCTTCACTTCTTGCCCCCTTCCCCTGTTTTTTCCATCTTCCCCCTCTCCCCTCTCCCCGCCGTTTCCCTCCCCTTCTCGCCCATCTCCCAAACGGCTGCTGGGCGAATGGGAGGGAGTGACCTTCAAGGACTTGGTGAGTTGGCTCCTGCTTTGATGCAGAACTCTCGCCCCCACTCCTGCTTCCACCCCCCTGCGCCTTCCCATTCTCCCTATACCCCAGCGGCTGTTGGGCATTCTAGAGCGCGTGAGCTTCAAGGACTTGGCAGGCGTTTGGATCAACTCAGAAGTTAACTCACCCTCCTCCCTCCGCACCCTTTCCCCCCCTGCTCCTTCACTTGCCCAGCGGCTACTGGGCATGCTAGAGGGAGTGAACTTCAAAGACTTTGTCAAGTGGCTGGCTGCCTTCAGCTCCCGGGCTACTGCTGAGGACCGCACCCGATGTGAGGCTGGTGATGGGGTGGGATGGAATGGGATGGGATGGGATGGGATGGGATGGGATGGGATGGGATGGGATGGGGTGGGGTGGGGTGGGGTGGGATGGGATGGGTTGGGAGTGAATTCAATGGGGTGTGCTATGGGGGATTACTGTAGATTCCACCTGTGCCATGGCATGCCGGCATGTCTCCATTCCCCACCGCTCCTTCCCCCAGTGGTGTTCGCCATGTTCGCCCAGCTGTACAACATGGATGGCACTGTGCCGCCTCACCCACCACACCACACGTTGCCCCTTCGCCCCTTTTCCCCCCTCTCCCTCCCCCACACCCCCCTCCCCAGTGACGTTCGCCATGTACGACGTGGATGGCGATGGCAAGATATCCAAGGGGGACGTCCTCATCCACACGGCAACACTTCCCCTTCTCGCACCTTCCCTTCCCCCTCTCCCCTCCCCCCAGTGGTGTTTGCCGTGTACGACGTGGATGGCGATGGCAAGATATCCAAGGGCGATCTGCTCGCCATGCTCCGGGACCTGTCAGGGGGCTTTCTCTCTGATGAGCAACGAGAGGTGGGTTGTGGGAGAGGTGGGGCTTCGAGTGGGAGTTTCTTTGGAGGGGAATCGCACAGGTCATCAACACAGGGTGCTTGCAAACGGGACCTGCTCGCCATGATTAGGGACCTGTCAGGGGGTTCCTTTCTGACTAGCAACGAGAGGTGTAGGCGTTGTGGTATGGGATAGGTGGGGCCTAGAATCGCAGATGGGGCACGCAACACACACCACACGTCACGCACCTCACAAAACACAACACATAACACAGTTCTGAGAAATATGCCGCTTCTGCTCACCCTTTATTACCCATCACCCCCCATCACCCCCCCAATCACCACCCATCGCCGTGTATGACCGCACAGGAGGTGGTGGTGCAGGCGATGCAGCAGGCGGGGTTCAGCAGCGACTCACTCCTCTCCTTCAATGACGTCTACAAGGTCACCTGCCATGCCCTGTATCACGCCGTACCATGCCATGCCATGCCATACCATGCCATGCCATGCCATACCATGCCATGCCATGCCATCAATGTCTGCCTGCCTGCATGCCTGCATGCCTGCATGCCTGGTCTTGGCCACACAACTGCCGGTCTCTCTTATGTCCCGTGACCAACGCACTCATCTTCTTCCATTCTCTCTCTCCTCCCCATTCTTCTGTTACCATCCTGGTGTCCATGTGCACTGGTAATGCGGCTTGCAGGTCATAGGGAAGCAACTGCGGTTGCAACTTGACATTCCTGTGGACGATTAGGTACATAGTCTGTTAAACACCTATGGAAAAAAACTATGTCTTCTTGTAAGACGGGGTACAGTCGCGCAACGCGCTACGGCAATAGAAAGAAGGTGCTGAGGCTCATGTTTGTCCTCAAATTAATCCATCCATCCATACCGGTACAATACTCTAGAATCATGCTACATTTAGGCATACTATTGAGAGCAACCTTCCACATATGCATGAATCTTGTACAAGCCGCCAGGGTGCGACTCTATGCATACCGCTGAGTGTAGTGATGATACATGATAGCACACGTGCTAACGACTAGGGAAGTGTAGATGCGCCTTCAGACATGGCTCCCTGAGCAAGGCGATAGTATAGCAGCAGCATTGTTGCCATGCATGAGCTGCAGATGGGAGTGGTGCAACATGTGGTGAACACAGCGTGAGTTGTGAGACGGTTGCATGTGCAGCCACATGTGACATGCATGCAGGTGGAGGAAGGAGGGAGGTGGAGAGGTGGGAGGAAGGAGGAAAGAGGAGGAAGGATGTAGGCAGTGGTGCGTGTGAGACATTGAGTGGGCGCGCAACATGGTACAGAAAACCCCAACCGCACACTCCTCTTCACACTACAACCACAGCAGAAAGGCATGGCATGGCACAGAATGACATGGCATGGAATGGCATGGCATGGCAGGGCATGCATGCAAGCAGCTTACACAATGGCCACGATGAGCAGCAGCTTCCGCGGGTCCACACCCCCGCTGCGCCGCTGCCCCGCTCTCCGCCTGCCGTCCTCATGCGCCCCCACGGCTGCATGCTCCTCCTTGTCCCTCCTGTGCGAGTGCGTGGCCGTGAGCGTCACTGGCAGCGCATGCAGCGCTGGTGACCACCATGACCCCAGCACCCGCAGGAACTGCAGATGCGGCGGGCCTGAGGAGGTGGGGGGAGTGGGGGAAGGACAGGGGTGAGTGCGCCCCCGTTGGTGCATGCTCGTCCTTGTCCCTGGCAGCGCGTGCAGCACCCTCAGCACCTGCAGATGGGCCGGACCTGAGGAGGTGGGGGGAGTGGGGGAAGGACAGGGGTGAGTGCGCCCCCGTTGGTGCATGCTCGTCCTTGTCCCTGGCAGCGCGTGCAGCACCCTCAGCACCTGCAGATGGGCCGGACCTGAGGAGGTGGGGGGAGTGGGGGAAGGACAGGGGTGAGTGCGCCCCCGTTGGTGCATGCTCGTCCTTGTCCCTGGCAGCGCGTGCAGCACCCTCAGCACCTGCAGATGGGCCGGACCTGAGAGGGGATGGGGAGAGAGGGGTGACATAAAAGGGGGTTGAAGAGAGGGTGGTGAGAGGGATGAGTGATGAGGGATGAGTGATGAGCATGTGGTTCACAAGCAGGCGACCACCACCACCCCACCACCCTCAGCTCAGCAGCTGCAGATGCGCCGGGCCTGAGAGGGGATGGGGAGGAGGGGGGTGACACTTCAAGAAGTTAAGAGGATGGGGTTAAAGGGGTGACACCAACGTCGCTCTCCCCTTCCTTTACCGTCTCTCATGTCTAGCGCACTTCCTCATGCTCACCTCATCAGAAGCAGGTACGCTGTCCCTCATATGCATCCACACACTCTTTCCTCCTCGCCCACCCCATATCCCACCCTCTCTCACCTCGTCTGGCGTATTTGCGCTCCCCTGCCTCCTCATCGGTGCGGTAAGCCGTCTCGATCTCCTCTGTGATGTCCACCGCCGTGCGATCCGACCCGCCCGTGCGGCTGCGCGCAATGTTCACCCCGCCCTGCTGCTGTGGCTGGGGGGTGACAAGTGAGCGGCAGGACAGAGACGGGGTTGGGGCGGAAGAGTGAGCGGCAGGACAGAGAGAGGGTTGGGGCGGAAGAGTGAGCGGCAGGACAGAGAGAGGGTTGGGGCGGAAGAGTGAGCGGTAATCACCTTCACTTGGAAGAGGGGAGAAAAATGAGGGGGACGGGGAGTAGTGGCACTGGTGCACCCCTGCAAACCGCATCCAGCCACTAACACATGCACAACAACTCCCACCTCCAGCCACTCACTTGGCGTTTTGCCCCAGCTGAAGCAGCAGCTGCCGCCGCCGCTGCAGCCGCCACAGCAGCTGCTGCTGCTGACGACCCCGCCCCACTGCCTTCACCTTCCCCGCCGTTCCTCTCCTCCACTGCTCCGCCCGCCTCCCCCCGAGCCTCCCCTTCCGCCCCTGCACTCGCGGAGTCTGCCGCCCGCCCCACCACTGCGAGAGGGCCGGAGGCGAATGCGGGCGGCGCGGATTTGTCTGATAGTGCTGTGGCTTGGGCGGATGCTGCTGCTGGGTCGGACGTGACTGGCGTGCTCAGGATGACGTCCGCAACAGATGTCTGCGCGAGATGGTGTGGGAGGGGGTGTTGAGGAATATGTCTGGTTGGATGGGGATAATTGGGATATGGCTGGTTGAAATGTAGACGGAAAGCCCAGCAGCAGTTCTAACAGATCCACCTGAGCCAGGACCCACCTGAGCCAGGACCCACCTGAGCCAGGACCCACCTGAGGCAGGAGCTGTTTCAACAGACACACATGAGCCAGGAGCTATTCCAACAGAACCACCTGAGCCAGGAGCTACTACAACCGCCCCACCTGAGCCAGGAGGTATTCCACCAGACCCACCTGAGCCAGGAGCGCTCTGAGGTGTGTGTAGAGAGCAGAGGCAGAGTCCTTGTGCGACCTGGCTGGCCATATCTGCATGTATGGGGACACACACGCACACACCAGTGCGAGAGAAAAAAAAAACAATTCAAGCATAGGCAGGCATTGTGGTAATTCTACCAATAGAGCCGATCGCCTCTGCTGATCACCATGCGCATGTCGCTGTGGCTCAATCAAGCCACGTGGCACAGCAAGGGATGCGACGCACCTCAAGGCCGCAACCAGGGGAGGCGCATGTGAAGCCTGCTGGGGCGGTGTTGGGCGGAAAGGACTCCACGTGCCTCTTCACACACTCCGCATGCGGCACGTCTGCACCCACCACACGACACGGGGATTGTCAGGCGAGCAGCAGGTGACATGGCGAATGTCATACTCGACAGCGGTGCAGGCAAGGAGCAACGGCAGGCGGGTCGGCAACTAGAGGAGAACATAAAAGGTCGGACGGGAAGGTGAGGCAGGTAGGGTGGGGGTAGAGCGCGCGTACGGAGGCAGGAGAGGCGGATGGTGGGCTTGTCGGAATCCTCGAGGGACTCGCTGCACACGGCGCAGTGCGGCGGCCAGTCGTAGTCGCCGTCGTTCACCCAGTCCGAGTACTGCCATACCTGGAGCCCAATCGCCGCGGGGACGGGGAGGAGGAAGATAGGGAGGGAGGAGGGAGGGAACGCTTGGTAAGGACCATATGCTTTGTCGCATCGAGAAACGTTCCAGCTTTAACAAAAGGACGGTGGTATGCTGTTGTTAACACTCCAAGAATCATGGCCATGAGGATCCGGTACCACGACAACAATCGACAGGTGGCGACAGGCGGCGACAGGCGGCAACAGGACGTACCACGCAGTGCTGGTGGTCGGGGGCGCATATGCAGTCGAAGCACACGGGCGCCTTGTGCACGAAGCAGTATAGCTTGGTGGCCTGCCATGGAAATTGCATCGATCCGTGGCGCAATTCGGGGTATGAGATTCCTTAAAGCAGCAAATCTGTCAACGACACCCGTGAAGGACTTACTCGATAATCTGATTAACCACAACATGATTCGAACGTCTGCAGCAATGCCTTCCTAACAGCCTGTCAGAGTTTCAGTAGGGATGCTGCATGCGATACGAAACTAAATCGAGCAATCACACGCGGCACACCTTACGGCATTTGCAGACCACCATGAGGACAGATTCGGCTACGAGAATCCAGTACGCAGGGTACGCCCTTCAAGCCAGGTGGCCGATCACAGGAATTAATAAAAGTAACTCTTTTCTGCAGTTCCAAGAATCTAGTCTTAGCAAGTTGCCATGGCCGTCTCTAAATGGTGATCTGGAAATTCAGCTGACTGACGCCCGGTTCGGCAGGCATAAAAAAAACGGGCTCGGGGGATGGACTTCAGTGAAACGACCACCCTGGAACCTTCCTTGATAAGCGCGTGAAAGGTTATCAAGGCTCGATATAAGCGGATCTACGCCGAACCAGACAATAACGGGATGCCAGCCGAACGGCCCTTTTTCGCTGGCGTTTTCAGCCCTAGGAATCTTCAACGAACCCAGTTTCTCTGGCAAAGTTGCCATTAACCGATCCGCCGCTCCATGCAGACTCGAGGTCCCGCACCATGCGGAGGATCAGTGATTCGGGGCGATCACACCTTGCCTGGAAATTAACATGTCCCGGCTCTTTCTGACCCCTCTTCCTGCCAGCAGGCAACTCTAACACCCCCAACACACCCTTCCGAGGAAGAGGTAGGAGGTCATGGTTTCCCCTTCCGATTTTTTTCTGACGGGACCACTGATCTGCAGGGAGGGCCCGGGCTGCCAGTGCAGTGATCATGCGCTCCATCAGCGCAGCTGCGTTCCGGCTTCTGCGATGTTAAATTTTCAAAGATGCCATCAATCTAGACCCATTTAATGCCAACCGAGCGATCCGGCCCGTTTTTACGAAGGTGCAATGCAGCTACGGTCTGATTTCGCAGCTGTTTCGAGGCGGCATTTTTTGGGGGCCCGTTAATAATGCCCAAAATGCCCAAAAGGCCTGCCGAGCCGGGCCTGAATGATACATGTTCCTCCTACACCAACATTCTCGAAGTGTGGAGGGAAGAGGAAATGTCAGCAGTCGGGTCAGAGTAAGTTGGTGTTAATTTGTAAAGCGTATAGACCATAAATCATATGGATACCTACCACTTGCTAACTTTATAACATGCATCCCACAATTTCCATCATATCTCCCAGGGATTTGCTCCAATGGGTACTTTCCACTTTGAAGACCACTTTACAAGAACCAATAGATGGATGGATAGATGGAACGTCCCCTAAATGTTGATAGATAAATCGATCTGGTTAATCTCAGTCATTTGGGGCATTAAATAAACCCACAAGCAAATATGACCCTACAAGAAAAGCTGTTTTTCCCATACAAATGTCTATGATATCACAAACGGAAAGGTTGGAACCTAGTGTTGTTGAAGTAGAAGGCCTAATATGTCATAATGTTATATTGCTTGCTTTGTGTAGGCTATAGTGGGGTAGCCCATAAGGGGTACAACCCAATTAGGGATAGTACTTGTACCCAACTTCTGCTCAATGCATTCATTCTCGTTCATTCTTCTGACATGGTTTCAGAGCAGGTCCTTCGCTAGGACCGTTTTTTTAGGGCCCACCATAGCGCTGCCCCACGAACTGCCCTGCCTAAGGGCCAGTCGCGTCGCCCCTAGTAGCCCGTCGCGTCACCCCTAGCCGCTCGTCGCGCTGCCCCTAGCAGCCCGCGAGCCGCCCCTAGCATCCCGCGAGCCGCCCCTGCAGCCCCGCGCGCCGCCCCTTGTGGCCCGCTCGTCGCCCCTGCTGCCCCGCGCGCCGCCCCTTGCGGCCCGCCCGTCGCCCCTAGGCCCCGCGCGCCGCCCCTTGCGGCTCGCCCGTCGCCCCTGCTGCCCCGCGCGTTGCCCCTCGCGGCCCGCCCGTCGCCACTAGGCCTCGCGCGCCGCCCCTGCTGCCCTGCTCGCCACCCCTGCAGCCCCGCGCGCCGCCCCTTGCGGCCCGCCCTTCACCCCTGCAGCCCGCGAGCCGCCCCTGCAGCCCTGCGCGCCGCCTCTTGCGGCCTGCCCGCCGCCCCTGCTGCCCCGCGCGCCGCCCCTTGCGGCCCGCCCGTCGCCCCTAGGCCCCGCGCGCCACCCCTTGCGGCCCGCCCTTCGCCCCTGCAGCCCGCGAGCCGCCCCTACAGCCCCACGCGCCGCCCCTTGCGGCCCTCTCGTCGCCCCTGCAGCCCCGCGCACCGCCCCTTGCGGCCCGCCCGCCGCCCCTAGGCCCGCGAGCCGCCCCTCTTGCAGCCTGCGCACCGCCACTTGCAGCCCGCTTGCCGCCCCTTGCTGCTGCCTGCCCTGTTCCTTGCGCTGCCCGGCTCCTTCCCGCCCTGCGTACTGCGCTACTATGGCTTCTCTCCGCGTCCTCGCGTTCGACCATGAGGGCCGTCCGATCCAGTTCGACGCGTGGCTCGACGATTTACAGTCCCTACTGAGCGACTCTAGAGACATCGTTTCGTTGTTTGACCAAACATCTGAAGCCTCTCTCGCCCCTCCCGAGACAGCTGACAGTGCGACTCGTTCACAATGGCTTACTAGTGACGCTGCTGCTCGTTTAGCCATTCGCAACCACCTGCCGTTAGCCGAATGCGCTCACTTCGGACAGCACAGGACTGCACAAGTACTGTACGACGCTTTAGTCGCCCGTTACTCCTCATCTGCCACTGCTGCTCTAGGCCGTCTTCTAGTGCCCTACCTGTTTCATGAGCTACCCGCCTTTGCCACAGTGGAGGACTTAGTTACCCACCTTCGCACTAGCGACGCTCGCTACCGCGTTGCCCTCCCAGCAGAGTTCCTTGACAAGAACCCGCCCCCGATGTACATCACTCTCTACTTTATAGTCACCCACCTCCCTCACTCTCTTGGCGCTGTCAGGGACCACTTTCACGCACTTGACCCCACAGCCCTCACTGTTGACCTACTCGAGCAGCACCTCCTTGCAGCTGAGACTAGTGTAGTCGCTGTAGGTGCCGCTCGTGGCACTCCTCGCACGCCCTTCTTTGAGGGTTGTTCCCCCTCCCCCCTTGCCCCCTCCTAAGCCTCTGCTGGTGCTGTTGACATACTTGGTGCTGAGGATGTCGGGGCTGCTTCTGCTAGTGGGAAGCGCCGCAGCAGCAAGGGCAAGGGTGGCAGGGGTGGTGGCGGTGGCAGCGGGGGTGGTGGTGGGGGCAGCAGTGGAGGTGGTGGAGGCAGTGGAGGTGGTGGCGGTGGTGGGAGTGGTGGCGGGAGTGGGGGCTTTGGCGGCAGCGGTGGTGGCACCGGTGGGGGTGGCGGTAGTGGCGGCAGTGGGAGTGGTGGTGGTAGGGCTGGAGCTGCTCAGCGGGGAGGTTCTGGCGGTGGCCAGAGGCAGCAGTAGCAGCGTCGAAGCGAGACACCGTCGCCCCAGCAGCTTTGTGAGTGGTTTTCTCAGCGTGGGGCGTCTGGGGGTAGTGGTAGCTGCCCGTATGTCATTCGCACGGGTGACCGTGCTGGCCAGACATGCGGGAAGCCTCACACGCAGCACCGCTGCTTCTCCCACCTAGACGACGATTGGCGCGTAGAGTTTGGTGACGAGGCCGAGCGCCCCTGTTGGGCAGAGCTGCTTAGGTCTGGAGTTCCTATCTTTGACCTTGACTATGATGCTATCCTTGCTGCTATGTATGCCTTGTCTGTTAGTGCTGAGGGTGACTCTTACCTGTGTGTTCCGCCTCATCCAGGTATAGAGGCTGCTGCTCTAGGTGCTAGTAAGTCTGCTCTCCTTGGTACTGCGCCTGCTGAGGCCTTGCACACCTTTACACTTGACTCTGGTGCTTCACGCTTTTTCATTCTCGACAGCACCACCCTCACTCCTCTCTCTACACCTGTCCCGGTAAGACTGGCTGACCCCTAAAGGGGCCCAGTCCTTGCCCGTTCCTCCACTGTTCTCCCGTGTCCGGCGGTTCCGTCCGGCTCACTGTCAGGTCTTCACCTCCCCTCGTTCTCTACGAACTTGGTGAGTACCGGTGCCCTCCAGGATGCGATGGTCACTACCACCACTCCTGGGGGTCAGCGTCTGTCGATCTGCACGTGTACACGGACGGGCCGTCACCTGACCACGTTCACTCATCGGCCTGAGTCGAGTCTGTACACACTGGCTACCGAGCCTCCTCAGGTAGCTGCATCTGCCCAGGTGTCCGCGTCAGGTCCGGTAGCACCCCCTTGCTCGTGTCGCCTCCTGTCGCACCAGACTCTCCTGTGGCACCACCGCCTTGGTCAACCCTCCCTGCCACGCCTTCGTGGTATGCACTCCTGCCTCCTTGTCTCTGGTCTTCCCAGGTCTCTACCTCCCCTCCCGCCCTCGCCTGCCCCGCCCTGCCTTCCTTGCGTCGAGGGGCGGCAGCGCGCCGCTCCTCACTCCTCCTCGTTTCCCCCGACGACTGCTCCCCTGCAGACTCTCCACATGGACGTGTGGGGCCCAACCCGCGTCAGTGGACAGGGCCGCGAGCGCTACTTTCTGCTGGTTGTTGACGACTACACGCGCTACAGCACGGTCTTCCCCTTGCGCAGCAAGGGTGAGGTCCCTGATGTCTTGATCCCTTGGATATGCGTAGTCCGTCTCCAGCTCCGCGAGCGGTTCCGTGAGGACCTTCCTGTCCTGCGTCTGCACTCTGACAAAGGTGGTGAGTTCTCCTTCGACCTCTTGCGGGACTTTTGTCGTGGGGAGGGCATTCTCCAGTCGTTCACGCTTCCGGCCTCCCCTCAGCAAAATGGGATTGCTGAGCGCCGCATTGGCTTAGTCATGGAGGTCGCTCGTACCTCCATGATCCATGCGGCTGCTCCCCATTTTCTGTGGCCGTTTGCGGTCCGGTACGCTGCGCATCAGCTCAACCTCTGGCCCCGTGTCTCCTTGCCGGAGACTTTGCCAACACTTCGTTGGTCAGGGAAGGTTGGCGATGCGTCGGTGTTCCAGGTCTGGGGCTCTCGTGCATTTGTTCGCGATACGTCCGCGAACAAGCTCTTCGCCCACGCTATTCTCTGCATCTTCCTTGGCTTTCCCCCTGACGTGCCTGGCTGGCAGTTTTACCACCCCACCTCGCGCCGTGTCTTCCCCTCTCAAGACGTCATGTTTGACGAGCCGGTTTCCTTTTA